ATGGATTCCCAGCAACACTACAAATCAAGAAAAAGAATGATTCATGATTAAATAAATATATGAATTAGTGAAAATCACTGTTTTTTTATTCATATAATCATATGATTACTATAGTTGTACTATGAAGTGGATTTTGACATGCATGTGAAGGATATATCAAGATCTGTTTATCGATTGAACAAAACTTTGAGTTCAGAAACAAGAACGAATAATGTTCAAAAAAAAAAAGAAATAAGAACGAAGACATACCTTTAGCTGCTCATCTTAAACGGTTTGTCCTTCGATACCTATTGTTGTGTTGGATCGGGGTCATTGTAGTTCTTTCTGATATGTGTTCCGTTTGTATCAGCTTCCGATCGATTGCTCTTCTTTCTTCGTCTAGATGCTGTCGGTAAGAGAAGGGGATAAGGTAAAGTTGTCGTTTTCTTATTCACTTAACTAAACTGATTTTTTTTTTTAAAAAAAAAACGTCACATATGTTGATGATTGATGAAAGAAGTCACAGGTAATACACGGCCCATTGTTGATGAATGTATGTTGGGTTGAAATCTACAACAACCCATTTCCCTGGAATATGTTTTTTGTATTTTTCAATATTCATTAAGAAGCCCACTTTTTAATTTTATAGGTTAGATTTAAGGATTTAACAAATTAATATAATTGTTGAACAAAAAGAAACAAATTAATATAAAAAAATTACCAATAACAAAGAAATTACATAAAAATTACTAAGAATATTTTTACAATTTTTTTTTGAACTTTTAAAAATAATTACTATGAGTATAAATACATCTTTTATATCATGTTGAACACATAAGAATATTTTACAAACATAAACAATCAACACAATTGTAAATATATTATATTATCTTGTATATAAATACATAATCTTATAAATAAATATTGAACATATATACAAATACATATTTTTATATCATGTTGAACATATAAGAATATTTTACAAACACAAAAGATCAACACATTTGTAAATATTATATAAAAAATACATAATTATATAAATAAATTTTGATCAAAATTTGAAAAGGAAAAAAATACGGATCAAAATTTTAAAATCATAATCAATAGCTTATATTAAAAGCCCAAAAATATTTCTTACATGAACTTTGTAATAGTGTGTATTTCATTGAACTAAACAGAAATTTGAAAATAGTACGTGAACTTTACACATATTGCCCTTTCATTCCCAAACTTTATAATAGTGCATATAATATTAACCTAAACAAAAATACTACATAAACTTTTAAATCGTGTTTAAATATATTGACCATCAAAAGTGTTAGTCATTCATTAATTTATCGAAATGACATCATTTTGGATAAATTCTGTAAATTAAAATTAAAGTTTAATGATAATCAAATGACCCAATTCAATAACGTAAATTAGGCTTGCTAAATAAAATTTTCCAAAACCTGTACTTATTTTTGAATGTTTTTTCGTAACTTGCTTTCATTATTTTTTATGTTTCTGTTAAGTAATGTATTTATTTTAAAATATCGATGTAAAATTTGAACTTTATATTCAACTTTAAATCTCAATATTTATAGTTTAATTTCATAAAACCTACAAATATACTTAAAAACCTAATATTTTATTCTTTAATGTTTACTTTACCAAATATAATGAATAAAAACACAATTAAAAAAACATAATCTCATAGTTTATAAATGGACCATAAACCATTGAACAAGACAATATGTCAAAACTCAATAAACTATGAATCTATACAAGAACATAAATTATGTTTAGGTAAATTATTTACAAGTGAAAAACATATAATTATAAAAAACAAACACCCGCACGGGCGCGCGGGTCAAAGGCTAGTATTTACTTATTTCTTCTGCAGCGTTTCGTTTATTTAAAGTTCTGAATACTTCATATCTACACTTCAACCAAAAAAACAAATATAATTGATCAATGACCTACAATTACGATTAAAAGTATCTCAGTTATTGTTATTATTTTTTTTTTTTTCAACGTTTCCCCAAAAAGCAAAGACTACTTTCAGATCCTTTCCTATTATATATACAGTTAAAACATAAGAAATATTTTGTGAATATTTTTTTTTCCTTTTTTAATTAGAAAAATCATTCTTTTTGGAAAAATATATTTTTTCCCCAGAAAGCAAAGATTACTTTCAGATCCTTTCCTATTATATATACAGTTAAAACATAAGAAATATTTTGTGAATATTTTGTTTCCCTTATTAATTAGAAAAAATCATTCTTTTTTTGTAAAAAATAATAATGTAAGCTCAGGTTTCATGTTAGTGAACTATAAATACCCAACATCTATAGTGCAGAAACATCAAAAAAGTCTCAAAAAATTTAGTCTATCTCCGAAATATAGTAAAAACTAAACAAATGAACAATCTCTTGATAGTACTGATTCTTTTGGGCCTATGCATCGGCTTAAGCAATGGTTTCCGCATGCTAGGAGGAAGCACAGTCACGTTAAGCAACCAGTTGGAACACAACAAACTCCTCAAAATTCGTTGTGACAACGACGAAGGTGAGAAGATTGTGAAAATCGGCGACGAATACAAATTCACTTTTGGTGACAACTTTTTCGGAACGACCCGGTACTCATGTAAAATGGACCAAGGTCCTAATTTCAAACATCACACCGAGTTTGTGGCGTATGACGCTTCGTGGAGCAAAGCGCTTGAGGCTACATGCAAGTGGATTGCAAGAGAAGATGGTATCTACTTTTCTCAAGATGGAAATCCCCCTACGTGGAAATATTCGTGGGATGGACCTCACGTTCTCAAAAACTAGGGTCTTATATTCTTGATTGATAACACTATGTATCGTATGCGAACTTAATTATTATAAAATATACATAGTTGGTTATTATGATAAACTAATCATTATATTATGAATCTACTCTATTAAAAAAAAATTATTCTTTTTATCTATTAATACAAGTTGTTATTTAAATTTAGACTATTTCTAAAATGTTACAAATAATACAAGCCCTATAGTTAATTAAACCGCATTACTTAAATTAAACCGGTAGTTATTTATGGAATATGGTTTTGAGTTTACTTTAGTTTTTAAGACAAATTATATGGTTTGGTTTTTGGACTTAGTATTAAGGAAAAACTCCAAAAACATTGAATAAACTTTCTACTCTAATGGATCAAAAAATTAATTATTATTTTCAATCCCAAAGATATTTAATATTTTTAACAAAACAAATTGTCTATTATTAATTATTTATTTAAATCATGCACTTTAAAACATGTTAATGTATTTTTTATTTTAAATAACAATCACTTTGTTTTGATAAATTTCAATGGCAACTTTTAAATAATTTAATGTTTTATTTTCTTAGATAATTTACTGATTAAAAATAAATAAATGTAAAGTAACACCAAAAACCAAATCTAAAACTAAAATCTAAAACCAAAAAGTTGAAAACGCAGGTTATATTTTTTGCTTTTGTTTATTTACAAATAAACTATTGCAATTTTTTTTAAATTTTTTTCTCATCTTTTCAGTTTTAAATTAGATGTTTTGTTATTTGGGATTTTTTCTTGGTAATATCAGTTCAAATTAACTCAGCAGATCTAAAAATTAAAAAACCAAACCAAAAGCTGAACATCAAAAATAGAAACTTAAAAACTAAAAACCAAAAACCAAAATCTAAAACAAAATCTAAATATAAAAACTAAAACTAAAAACTAATGAAAAAAAATCATCACTACAAATTTTGGTGAACTAATTTTATACCAAAACATTCTTTAAATTAAGACAAAACTCAATTACATAAACTTTTAATCCTAAAAATTTTCTGCATTTGAAAAGAGCGGATCAAAATCTAGTTTGTATTTTATTACAAAATAACCAATCAAAAACAATTATATAGGGAGGTGCAAACAATTAAGTAAACACTCTCATATATACATGAGCGAATCTAAGATTTTGGAGGTTTAAAACATTTTTAATTTTTTTTTAAAAATGTGGAGACCAAAATTAATGTTTAGGAATTTATTCATATATTAAAATTTTCTAAAATTTTTTGGGTTAAGACGAATATTTCATTCGACTACGTGTAGATCCGGCTCTTTTATGTATGAGTAATGACGTTGTAAATGATGCTCTAAAGCCAATTAAAAGCTAATATAAATTAAACTAGATTTTGAACCCGCACATTCGTGCGGGTAATTTTTCATTTTATAAAAATATAACAAAATCTTTCAGATATATCATTTACATTTTATTTTTATATTGTATAACTATAGAATCTTATTATTTTAATTATTTTATATAATATATTGTTGTCATTTTTTTAAAATATCAAATATTTTTTTTTAGATAATGTATTTGGTTGTGAATTACAAAAATATATGTCAGCATTTTTTGTATAAAAATATTACATGATTTAAAAAAATTAATATGTTTTAACAGTGAATAAAAGAAAATTTTAAAATAAAATATTTTTCTTTACCAATTTAATATATTTTTATATTAATTTCACATAGCATTTTATTTTAATATAATATAGAAAATCATTAAATTATAAAATATACCAATTTTTTTTTAATTAACATTAATATATATATCTTAATCACGAAATTAAATAAGATATATTTTATAAAATATTTAAATTTCTTGGTAAGATCTTGTTAGATATTTTCTCAACAGATTTTGTTATAAATGAAATTAAAGATAACTTTATAGTTATATATTATTAAGATATTTCTTCAGGAATATATATTTGGTTGATTAATATAAATAATCAAATATGTTATATTAATGAAATAGTCCAATATGACTTTTTGTAGTAGATATAAATGGTACTTCTCTTTTAATATAGAAGATTTTAAAATATCAAATATTTTTTTTTAGATAATGTATTTGGTTGTGAATTACAAAAATATATGTCAGCATTTTTTGTATAAAAATATTACATGATTTAAAAAAATTAATATGTTTTAACAGTGAATAAAAGAAAATTTTAAAATAAAATATTTTTCTTTACCAATTTAATATATTTTTATATTAATTTCACATAGCATTTTATTTTAATATAATATAGAAAATCATTAAATTATAAAATATACCAATTTTTTTTAATTAACATTAATATATATATCTTAATCACGAAATTAAATAAGATATATTTTATAAAATATTTAAATTTCTTGGTAAGATCTTGTTAGATATTTTCTCAACAGATTTTGTTATAAATGAAATTAAAGATAACTTTATAGTTATATATTATTAAGATATTTCTTCAGTAATATATATTTGGTTGATTAATATAAATAATCAAATATGTTATATTAATGAAATAGTCCAATATGACTTTTTGTAGTAGATATAAATGGTACTTTTCTTTTAATATAGAAGACTAGATTTTGAACCCGCACATCCGTGTTGGTAATCTTTCATTTATTAAATATAAAAATTTAATATAAGTTAACAATTTTATTTTCTGTAAAATTTATTACATAATTTACGAATGTTTAATTTTTTAAAAGGTAAATAATATTTTAGTCACTTAAATGGTGAATGATATTTTTTTATTTTTTTAAATTATTTTTTTTAAATATATTAATTTACCAATTTAATATAATTTTTATATATAATTCATATATTTGTTTCTATTTTAATATAATATAGACTATACTTATAAAATTTATAAATTAGTATATAGTATATTATATTTTGTTTATTAAAAAAATTAATTGATATTTATGTATAATAATATTATACTACTAACTACGAAATGAATCAGTGCATTAAGTAAAAAACTATTTAAATTTTAGATTTTGTTAGATTTTTTATCAACAGATTTTGAAATTACTAAATCTAAAATTTAAAATTACAGTTAAAATAGATTGTTATTAATATCTTTATAATTATTTAGAAATGTTATACATAAAATAAACTAATGTAAATAATAATAAAAAATTGAATATATGAACCTAGTATAATTATTCTATAGTAGATAAAAATGGTACTTCTTTTTTAATAGAGAAGATTATATAAAACCATTTACTTGTAGGTCGACTGAATAGAATGAGTAGTTATATAAATATCTAAGATAAACCAGGGACCAAAAGCCAAATATACAGATATTTTATAAAAATCAACGGTCCATAGACCAAGAGCCAAAAAATATAGATATTTTATAAATCAACGGCCCAAGAAGACGTGAGAACTATCATCAGGAGGAAGAAGAATGGCACTGACACTAACACTAACCACTTCCGTTCATCTTCTCAATTCAACCTCCGTCGCGCGTCCCCGCATCCTCGCCGCTGATTCCCGTCACCGATCGCGGCTTCCACGGCCTTCATCGTCAATCTCCAACTTCCAGCTCAGATTTCCTTCGACAACTCATTGCAGCGAGGAGCTTCGCTGCCTCTGCTCATCGTCCTCCGCTGCATCTCCTATGCAATTCGAAGTCTCCTCGCCGAACTCTCAGGTCTTATTGTCTGGTTTGTTAAGATCGTGTGGGAATCGTTTAGGTTGATGTGCTGATTTTGTTGAATTGTGATCAGTTTCTTGATAGTTTGCTATATTCAAGAGCGTATTGGGTTACGGAACGAGTGATTGCTTGGAATGTGGATGTTGGTGAAGGGTCGTGTTACTTGTATGCGAGTAGAGTCGCTGGTTTATCATTCAGTGAAGATGGAATTGATGGTGCTTTGATCTTTTATCTGTAAATCTCTGTGAAGGCTTTATTTTATATTATTTTGATCAAGTTTATTGGTTTTCAGGTTTTGATTTTAGAGTCAAGCTTGAAGCTGAGTCTGGATCACTTCATAACAATGTCAGTTGTACATTCTCTGCTTTGTTAATGAAAAAAAAGGAGCTCAAAGTGGATGTATTGATTTCAGGTGATTGAGAAGTTTCCACATATTGGGAATTACAAACCGTTCAAAGTTCCTTTGGATTTGGATGTCAGGGATCTTGTCAAAAGCCAATTAGCTATTGTTTGCTTCGATGGTATGGAGTTGTGACCCTTGCTTGCTTAGGATACCTCATTGGCATCACTAAGAAACTGTGGTGATTGAATTTATCTAATGGTTGTTTAAGTTTCTGCAGCGGAAGGACGGCTTATACAGGGAACTGGGTTGCAATTGCCTGGCGTCCTAGATGAACTGTTCTCATATGATGGTCCCCTAGGTGCACATTTCACACCAGGGGGAGGTGTCTCTCTTCACCTCTGGGCTCCCACTGCTCAAGTAAGATGTTCATGTTGGAAAAAAAGTTATTGGTATTACTACTACTGTCCTGATTTGTGTGCTCATTTGTGCATTTAAGTAGGAAGTTTCTGTGTGCATCTACAAAAACCCACTTGACAAGAATCCGACGGAAATTTGCCCATTCGAAGAGGTTAATGGTGTGTGGAGCACTAACGGACCGAGTAGTTGGGAAGGATGCTATTATGCGTATAAAGTATCAGTCTATCATCCAAGCACCTTGAAAGTGGAAACTTGCTATGCAAATGATCCTTATGCACGAGGGTATGGTATTATCCATTTAGCTTGAACTTGATGGCATATCTTTCATACAAATTTTTTTTCCGTATGAGTCATGTGTGATTTGTATATTCTCAAGCAGGCTTTCTGCTGATGCGAGCAAAACTTATCTGGTCAATCTTGATTCTGATGATCTAAAACCTGAAGGATGGGAGAAATTGGCAGATAAGAAGCCATGCCTAAGATCCCACTCAGATATAAGTATTTATGAGCTGCATGTGAGGGATTTCAGGTAATTAAACCCTGTTTTGCAGATCCCTGCATAGACGAGAATTGTGCTTGTGACAATTGATGTTTTACTACGGGGGCAAAACTTAACAAGTAAATTCTCGTTATAGAATAGCTATACGTACTCTCTCATGCGCATTATATTTTTTCATCGCTCTTCTTTTCTACCCGCAACCTAGAAACAATAACTTCTTCAATAGACAAACAAGAAGGATATTTTGTGCCCTAAGACTGTTTACTCTTTATCTTTGGATTACGTTATTGAAACTGTGAAGTCATTTTACTTTCCCATTGCAGGTTTCCCGTTTCTTCTTGTTTCTCTAATCTCTACCTGCTATTTCAGTGTCTATGATGAGACTGTCGAACCTGAACATCGTGGGGGATATCTGGCTTTCACTTTTAAGGTGTAAATATGTACATAATTTTATCCCCAAATTTTAGTTATACTTTTTATAATTTTGACACATTCGCTACTCTGCAATATTCTCGGTATCATCGTGTTTTGTATCATCTCATTAGATCTATTGACAGGATTCTGCAGGTGTGAAACATCTTCAAAAGTTAGCGGATGCAGGTCTTACCCATCTACATCTTCTTCCCACATATCAATTTGGTGATGTTGATGATGAGAAGGAGAACTGGAAGTAAATAGGTCGGGATGTCTTTGATATCTTAAGCGCTTACTTTATAGATTGCTCGCGAGTTAGGCTTTAGCCCCCCCCTTTAAATTGAGGAGACCTTATTCATTGTATTGAAGTCAGAGCTCAATAGTTGGAAAGGACATAGACGTCAAACTAACAAAGTCGTCTATCCTGTTTCTGTTTTCTGTATCTGGAATTTATTGTACACATAATGATGACATTTTTGTTTGCAGACACCAGTGTGCTGGAAGGATTACCACCTGATTCAGCTGAGGCACAAGCTCGTATTACAGAAATCCAGAATGATGATGGCTTTAACTGGGGGTAGTTTGTTATATGAAAGTTACTCCATTCATTATGAAGCAATGACCTTCTTCACAAGCTTCTGTTTTGTGAAGGTATAATCCTGTGCTCTGGGGAGTCCCAAAAGGAAGCTACGCTAGTGATCCGACTGGTCCATGCCGTATTATTGAATTTAGAAAAATGGTTCAGGTTTGCATTTTTCTATGTGGACAAAATGATATTACTGCTCCTGGTGATTTGCAACACACTATTTAGCTCACGAAAGCTAAATTTTGTATTGACATACAAGGTGTTAATGATTTCATGCTACTATGACTTGGCTCAGTATGTAGCTTCTTTTGGCAGGCTCTTAATCGTATCGGTCTTAATGTCGTCTTAGACGTTGTTTACAACCACTTGCATGCAAGTGGGCCACACAACAAAGACTCTGTTCTTGATAAGGTGAGCACTGATAAATCCTTGGTTTCAGTTTGATAACTAACTGTCTAGTGTGAGTTCTCGATCTTCCATGACAAAGTGTATTTACTTAGATAGTTCCAGGTTACTATTTGAGAAGGAACAATGACGGTTTTATTGAAAACAGTACGTGCGTAAACAACACTGCCAGCGAGCATTATATGGTCGATCGTCTGATACGGGATGATCTATTAAACTGGGTTGTTAATTACAAGGTACATGCTTATTGAATACTTTTCGGGCTTGGTACTTTTCTTCTCGTTGCCATAGAAATTAGTATTACCATTCTTCATGTATCTTTCGACCTTTGGTTCTGTTAGGTTGATGGATTCCGTTTTGATCTCATGGGTCATATAATGAAAGATACAATGGTAAGCCGCTTTCCTACTCCTCTAAAAATTATCTTGTAGTGTCCTTTTCAGTAATGGTTTCATTAGGTTCTTTTGTGATATTACTGTAGTTTTAATGTGAGTTGTAATATCCATGTTCCTAAGGTAAAAGCAAAATCTGCAATTGGTAACCTGAGAAAGGAAACAGATGGAGTTGATGGTTCAAGAATTTATTTGTAAGTCTTGGCTCATTACTGGACTTACGTGCGAGTTTTTCCGACACAGTTACATATTGCTTTTTTTGTTTCTTATGAAATATTTTGGCCGTTAAAATTTTCCTGCTATCATTAATCAGATATGGTGAAGGATGGAACTTCGGGGAAGTTGCTAACAACGGACGTGGAGTTAATGCTTCACAGTTCAACTTAACCGGGACTGGAATTGGAAGGTGTGAAGTTAATTGCCTCAATACGTTAGAAACAAAGATTTTCAACCTTTCTTCAATGATTGTTCAGCATCTTCCTGATTCCCTTTGCTTAACCTTGATGTTATATCCTTTTCAGTTTTAATGACCGTATACGAGATGCAACTCTTGGTGGATCTCCATTTGGTCATCCTCTTCAACAAGGATTCATTACAGGTTTATTGCTACAGGTATTTTGGATCTTATTTATGCAGTTAGCCGTCAAGATATAGAATCACTGAATTGTTTTAGCTCCAACCAAGGTTTAAAGTGAACAACATCACATACACATTTTGCCATACCAACAATACATGTTTGTAGTTTTTTTTTTTTTTTTATATTGAAGAAACATCACATCACATATTATATTTCCCATGTAAGTGTTTCATATTTGGGTGTTGAGCCTTTGAAATTCCCATACCATCAAGAAAACTAGAGAGCGCTGTTTGATGAGGTGTATATTGTATATCCCTTTTTTGTTAGTGGGTAACTTATTATTGAAGTAGAGAAGTGTACTTAGAGAATGTAGCTCTTCTTCGTCTCTTCTTTACTTTTCCTTTTTGGGACAGCCTAACGGTCATGAGCATGGTTCAGAAGCTACCCAGCATCTGATGCTTTCTACTGCCAAAGATCACATCCAGGTAATTGCTTGCCGTTAGATATCACATGCAATACGTTAATCATATTTCAGCTGTCAAAGCTTAAGGATATGCAAACCCAAATTTTTGTTCTCTAATTCGCTTCACCTGCCAAATTTTGTTATCTTTAAAGTTGAAATGTGACAATGGTATGGATATATTGTAAAACCAAGAAGTCTTTTGATAATATATTCCTTATTCTTTCATCATGGATTAGATTGGGATGGCTGCAAATTTGAAGGACTATGTGCTAACTAATCGTGAAGGAAAGGAGGTCTGTAAATAGACCCAATTTATTATTTAACCATTTACAAAGACTTTGTCTTCCCGTTTATGGTATATTTCTGTCGTTTCGTAGGTGAAGGGATCAGAGATTTTAATGCATGATGCCACACCTGTTGCATATGCTTCACAGCCTACAGAAACTGTATGAAACGTTATTCCCTACCACTTTCGTCTTTTGAGTGAATCAAACTGTGGTAAATGTATGACGCTCATATCAGCATTTCTCTGTGGTTTCAGATTAACTACGTCTCTGCTCATGACAATGAAACGCTCTTTGACATTATCAGCTTGAAGGTAATACTTAAATATGTTTTCTAAATATTATGAAGATGTCCACCTTTTAAATCTTCAGCTAAATGTTGTCTTTTGCTTGATTAAAATTCAATTCTAACGAGCTGTTAGTTCACTCTCGCATGTTGTATCTTCCACGCAAAAATGTTTATGCATTGACACTCCTACTTTAGGGTCTCCATAGACTTATTTCTGCTTTGTCCAACGTTTTGATGCAGACACCGATGGAAATTTCAGTTGATGAAAGGTGTCGAATAAATAGTTTGGCATCAAGTATGATTGCCCTCTCGCAGGTTCTCTACTACCCCTCACTTGGCTCAGAGATAAATCACTTTGTAGAATAAAGGACTGCAGAATAGGGCTGTAGGGTTTCTTGTTTGGCTCATGATTTTAAATTTAATATGTTGTATTCTGAATGTGAAGGGTATACCATTCTTCCATGCTGGGGACGAGATTTTACGCTCGAAGTCACTTGATCGTGATTCTTACAACTCCGGTGATTGGTTCAATAGGTTAGATTTCAGCTACAACTCCAACAACTGGGGTGTTGGGCTTCCTCCAAAAGGGAAAAACGAACACAGTTGGCCACTGTAAGTACCGACTCAAATGCATTCAATGTATGTATTGCTTATAGAACCATACAACCATGCATGTTTCTGAAACCAGTCAGTTCCTCTGCTATAAATGTCTCCACTCTTCAGGATTAAACCTAGGTTGCAAGATCCATCCTTCAAGCCTCAAAGCAGTCACATAGTTGCCACGCTCAACAGTTTCTTAGACTTGTTACGCATCAGATACTCATCACCTCTCTTCCGTTTGGATACAGCAAAGGCTATACAGGTCAGGATGACTACTGTTTGATGAAAATATTCGTCTAGTGTCAATATTTTGCAATGCCTTGAAATGTCACGAAGACTAAAAGTAAGAGATCGACTGATATGACTTCTTTGTTTTTTTCTTGTTCAGGAACGAGTGAGATTTCATAACACAGGCCCCTCATCAGTCCCTGGAGCCATCGTCATGAGCATTGAAGATGGTCACAAAGGCATCACAAGTGTATCTCAGATCGATCCAATGTAAGTTAAAAGAATACCAAAAAACATGATCCACGTGTCTTTCAAAGCTTCATATATATCATATATTGTTTTGTAATTGTATTGTTACTTCTACACCAGCTATTCATTCATTGTGGTTATCTTCAACGCTCGCCCGTCTGAGTTCTCATTTCTCAGTCCCGCTCTGAAAGACAGGAATCTCGAATTACATCCTGTACAGTAAATAAATGTTTGACAATATCATAAGTTCGCCTTTTCATTAATTCAACTGGATATTAGGAAAGTTTATTTAAGTTTTCTAAATGATGATTCAATTTTACAGGTGAAGTCGGGAGATGAAATAGTAAAGAAATCAGTGTATGAAGCGTTTTCCGGCGGCTTCCTTGTACCGGCAAGAACAACTACAGTGTTTGTTGAATTGCGGAATGGTTGAATCTTTTTTTCTTTTAGCAAAACAATGCTCTGTACCATAATATTCTCTTGGTAACATGACTTGTGTCTATTATGTTGATTCTGTTTCGTAGAGTGATAGTGGTATTGTTGTATTAAAGGTGTTGTCATGTAGCATTAATATGTTTTCTTCGGATCGTAATCATTTAACCATACCAAAAACACAAAACCAAATCTGACCTCAAACTGAACTGAACAAAATACGCTAAATTATAATTATCCTTTTGAATCTAACTATTTAAGATTTGAACCAACCGGATCCGACAAGATTCGATCCGAAAACTCAAACATAATGTAATCACATAAATATAAAAATCATAATTACCCCAGTTATTGGAATATCTGTCTGGAAAAAGTTAATCCATCATTTCTGCATTTATCATAGTCCTTGCTACATGTGAATGAAAACAAATAAATTAAAGAATATTAAAAAATAATTGTAAACAAAAATTGTTAAAAACTAATCCACATTCGATTTTTATGTCGCTAGATATACCATTCTTCCATGCTGGGGACGAGATTTTACGCTCGAAGTCACTTGATCGTGATTCTTACAACTCCGGTGATTGGTTCAATAGGTTAGACTTCAGCTACAACTCCAACAACTGGGGTGTTGGGCTTCCTCCAAAAGGGAAAAACGAACACAGTTGGCCACTGTAAGTACCGACTCAAATGCATTCAATGTATGTATTGCTTATAGAACCATACAACCATGCATGTTTCTGAAACCAGTCAGTTCCTGCTATAAATGTCTCCACTCTCCAGGATTAAACCTAGGTTGCAAGATCCATCCTTCAAGCCTCAAAGCAGTCACTTAGTTGCCACGCTCCACAGTTTCTTAGATTTGTTACGCATCAGATACTCATCACCTCTCTTCCGTTTGGATACAGCAAAGGCTATAGAGGTCAGGATATGATTACTGTTTTATGAAAATAATCGTCTAGTGTCAATCATTTGCAATGCCGTGAATTGTCACGAAGACCAAAAGTAAGAGATCGACTGATATGACTTCTTTGTTTTTTTTAGTTTTTTGTTTTGATTCAGGAACGAGTGCGATTTCATAACACAGGCCCCTCATCAGCCCCTGGAGCCATCGTCATTATCTTTAAACACTAGCTTATGACCATTTTCAGCGTTCTAGATGCCATCAATCTCTAGCTTCCCACAAGATTCGTGCGCCGAGTTTCATAAAATAACGAGATTCTTCATATGCCGTAAGTCTTTATGATACGTAAAATTAACACCATGTCTGAACAATAATCTTTTGCATGATAAGAACACAAGAGGCCAAGAGAGATTCAGCAGTCTCGCCCCATCTTCGTTTAAGTGAGACTTCTTTGTATGATTGGACTTTCTCTACTGCATGTCTTATAGATGTTCGTCTCATCATTCCTCCAGTTTCCTCATCTTTAGGCCTGTTCTTTGATTCTCTTTTATGGTCCTCCTGGGAAACCCTCAATGGTAGTAGATCATACTCTGGACTATGTTGATGCGTGAAGACGAGTCTGTCACTACATCTGCGTCTGTAGCTGTTTGAGATCCACCCTTTGCTGATTACCTTCTAGTTGTGACCCTGACGAGTACACCACAGAGATAACACTAACATTACATCATTGAGACTCTAAGCTTATCAGCGAAAATGTGGGAACTAACAAACCTGCGTTTCCCGTTTGTATCTTCTGTCTCGTGTCTGCTTTCAGATGGTTCTATAGCGCCAGATCTTGATCCATCCAGAACAGAAAACGCAAGTGTGTTTTTAGCTAACTAGTTATATGCTATCAATCAACGGGATAGGGAAAACCTAAAACGATATGTTTCCACAAACCTTGCAACATCAGCCCTCAAGGTTTCAGTCAGTTCCGGTTCTTGCAAGTCCAACGTTGCAGACTCTTTTCTTGAAGAGACTCTGCCAAGTAATACAAGAAGTCAGTGACCTCTAATGCATTGTTTTAAGTGACATCTATAAAGGATGCTACTTGTAAACAGGACGTTATTCAAGCTGTTACAAACCTTCTCCTCTTGATCATCTCCTTGACTTCGTTTCTCTCATGGAAGCTTTTACATGGTTCAGCTTCTTCAGGCCTTAACAGAGCAGACCGTCTTTTCAAACAAATCCTGCTCCAAACGGAGACAATGTCAGTGCAATACGTTATTTTCCATTCACAGTTTGCAACGATATAGGTAATGAATATGGGAAGAGGATTAAAAAAAAAAAAGCACTTGATAACAAACCTTGCGGTTTCTGTAGTTTCTTTGGCATCAACTATCTGAGGAACTGTTTCCGTTTGTTCACTTCCTTGAACATTAACCCTGGTAGATTTCCTTCGTACATATTGCCTATGACAAAACAAACAAACAAAGTACTCGAATCACAACAAGATATTCATGTTTTCCCCATTGTTTTGGAACAGAAGCTGATATAAGAAAAAATGTAAATGTCCGGGTTAGCTGCATCAAGAACAAACTTCATTGTCAACAATTTGGTTTGTCCCTTGAGAGACAAACCCTTTTTCAGCGTCTTCTTCAATCTGACAGTTACTTCGGCGATAACAGTAGTATCTATGACTACAGAAACTCTACTACAAACCAAACAGTACCAATAAAGGTTTACTTCTGCCAAAAGCGTTCACCGAATACATGGATTAAACTTAACGAGGGAGCTTTCTGAGGCTGAAAATGAAACGATATAAGGTAAGCATGCAATGAAGATATGATAAACAGTTTACGTTTTATCGTTGACGTTCACTTTCTCTTGATATCTTTGTGATTCATGTCAGGCGCCTGTAACGGTTAGCAATGCCCATCAGAAACGTTTGATGGAACCTTGAAGTCGACAACAAAGCTAAATATTGTGGAAACAATTGCAGTGCTAAATAAAAAAATATTTCATGCTCAGGAAATGTCACCCAGAAAATTCGAGTAAGCACCTTATCTTTCGTAGAGTCATCTGTAGATGGAAGTCCTTGCTCCTGGACGAAATCAGGTGACAAATTCTCAAGTTTATAACTTTTTTCCAGGTAACTATAGTCAATGGACATATACAGAACAAGGAAGCAACTTGCCTCAGTCTGCATTTTCTTGGCTTCAAGTAATACATTGTTGCAGCAAAGTTCATGTTGAAGTAGCTTAAGCTGAAAATGTACATACAATGTCAGTTGATCGAAGAAACTGTAATATAAATGAAATAAGAAAGCCTAGTTTTGAGAAACTTCAGTTCCAGAAAAGCATACCCTGTCTCTGTTAGTACTGAGTTCCTGCCAGGAAAAAGGAAAGACAATGAAGCCAAACCCAAACACTTTTTAAAATATATATTAAAAATCCTTTCATTGAAATATTAGGAATATGCAAGGATTATGCTGGAGTTCAGCACGTATGATTTGATTGTTGAGGAAATTTTGAGAGTAACCATTGGAAATATCCTAAAGGGAAACTAAGAGAAAATGAGGAGTTTGATGGGACACGACTTCAATAACTTATCTTCTTTTTTTCTGAATACACAGACAGCTACAGGCTTGAAACACTGAGCAGGAGGAAACAGAGATATCCCCTGAGACTGAACCCACACATGGGAAGCAAACTAAACAAACCGATCAATCTACGGAACAAAACACCAAACTCTTTTAATCAAACAGCAGACTAGACAGGTTGAAGACCAAGGGAGAAGAGAGATTAAACAAAAAAGAAACTCAGCAGATACATGATTGTCATACTGAAACCTTGACCCCAGCTACATGAATAAACCGGCCGAAGCCACAAGAAGCTGATCTCCTTTCATTAATTAAGTTATATAGAAAAAATGGTGGTCAATTTGCGACTATATGTGCTGTTAATAAATGAAAGCTGTGATGCGCCAGAGTAATCACAAGTAGTAGCAAGCATTCTTAATGGATAGAAAAGGTGATGAAAATGGAACTCCTCAGTGCCACAAAAGTCAAAAGCGCTACAAACTTAGTTCTTGATGAGCCTTTATAAACAAAACGTAGAGTTTTCAAACCACGAGGGTCATAATAACAAAAGCAAGAGAAAGCCCACCAAAAGACACACCTCATGGCGTTACAAACTTGGATAGAGAGTGATACTGAGAACTACATACAAGTCAACTTAAGTCTTTTTTATTACCATCCGGAATTTTGATCTCCGGTTCCTCAGGGCGAGCCACTTGATGACGACTTTGGTTTACCATCAGATTCTCCACTCGTTACAACATCATCATCATCTCCACTCGTTACAACATCATCATCATCATCATCTCCACCAGCACTCTCTTTAGAAACGCCATCACCTTGTTTGGAAAAGGTTGGTCCCTCACCACCATCGTTGCTCTGCCTTTTCCTCTTTCTTGTATACACTATCAAGTTTGGTATGGGGGTTAGAACCACAGCTTCCTTGGGGATCACGTGTGCTCCCCATAAGAGCTTCACACTTTCACCATTGATAAGAATCCATGAAGAGTGCTCTAGCATAGCTTTCTCCGCGGCTTGTCGGGATGCGTAGTTGAGAAACGCACCCTCACTACCTCTCAAGGAGAAATAGACTATGGACTCTATTTCACCATAAAGTCTGAAACGCTCCCGTATGTGCTGATCCTTCACATTGGAGTTGAGGCCACAGAGGTAGAGTGTTTTAACGGTTTCATCAATCGGTGGATCTACAACACCCATATAAACATTATTGGCCAGCCACTCTACGAATCTTGGATCGTCTAAACTGCAAACAATCAGATATTTTTTCAGGTTAAAACTTAAAACACATGAGAAATGCAACAGAGAGAGAGAGAGAGAGAGAGAGAGATTACCCAGTTCTACTAGAGTCAAAAACTCTGGGAATTTTATGAGCAAATGGACATCTGGCACCAGCCATACACACACGACCCGATTTGAAGAAACCGCAAACCAATCGATGGCCAAACCGTCCAAGTTCGCTCTACAGAAAGAAACAAGCAGTTATCAGAATTATTGCATCTCATAACCCTAAAACCTGACTGTAAATCTTTATATGTTAGACGAATTGGGATTCAAACACCAAAAGTTCCAAACCTTAAACCTAGACATTTAACAAGCACAAGAGAAGAGGTGAGATCCAAGAAAATCATTACCCTTAGAACTGAGCGACGGACTATCGGATTTCTCTGATCCATTCTCTTCTCCTCCAAGCCAATGGCCAAAAACGCGACGGCTTCTCTTCGGATGAACAAACGCGACGACTGCTATATCTTTGATAAAGGACCTTACTTTGCTGACTTGTAGGCCTAATCTAAAATCTCAGCCCATTTAGTTGATTATTATAATTGTTTACATTTTTTTTTTGTCAACCCATCTATCTATATTATTAAAAGAGAAGTATCCATATAAAATACTCCTAAATTTTTATAATTATTTACATTGTTATGCCACTGAAGTTATTAATTACCCTACCTTATAGGATTCTTTGTCTTTTCACTTTAATTAATGTATTTCCAAAATCAAATTTTAACTAAAAAAATTATGGCAACAATAATTAATGAAAATAATTATTTTCATATATACCTTTTATAATTAAATAAATAAATTATATAGAAATTGTTTTACTAATTCCATATACATAATAATTAATTCCAATATTAATTAACCTACCTTTTAGGATTTTTTTCTTATTAATTATCTACATATCTTTAAATAGTTAATGAACAATATTTTTTTCAAAGATATATATAATTATATTTTTATTATTTATAAGTAATAATTAAAATAAAAATCAGAAAAAGAAACATTTATATAATATATAATGAAAATATTAATATAAACATATCATGTTATGTATATTTTTATATAAATAATCGTTCAAGGTAAATTCAGAATAATAAAAGTTAAAAAGTAGAAATATATAGGACCATATATTTTAAATAGTAAATAAAACAATTTAGTTATATATTATCATAAAATTTTGATCCATAAAAATAAAATAAAAACATCTGTGCAGATATACGGGTCATATTTTTAAAATAAGTATGACACAATGACAATTTATAAGATAAAATAAAAATTACTCAATATAAACTATAAAATTGTGTGTTTAAAATATCATTTTAAACAATTATTTAAACGGGTAAATTTAGAAATATATATTATCACTTATAAAATATATAAAAACAAACACTTGCGCGGATCAAACAGTAAACTGTTCAGTATTCTTCTGTCAAAATTAAACCCATAAGTAATTTGTAACCATTTAATTGATACTTCATTTTTTATTTTACATAATTTAGTATAAGGTTAAGTGCATGGATAACAACACATGTGTAACACGTGTCGTCTTTCAGGGATACACCACTTCCTGAGCCATAGAAAGAGAGCGCGTTGTTGGAACTTCTCGCCGATCTACCGTCAATCACCGTCTTCAACTTATCTGAACCACTTGTTTGCTTTTCTTTCTTCCGAGCACTATTAATTTACTCCAGATTTCTTTTCTAATCGCTATCAATATACCCCTAAAAAAAGCTTCAGAAAAATCGACACAAAATCTTGTCGGAACACTATCTATCAAGGGAGCTCCGTCTCATCTGGATCCACACCGAATTCATCCTACCTTTTTCCATCTCTCGATTCTTAAATTTTTGAGGATACTTCGCCTATAACAGCGAATATTTGATACCTATCCAATTTAAGTTTCAAGCAAACTAGCGAAGAGAAACTCAATCTTGAGAACTAACAGAAAAGAGAATGGAAGATGTAGAAATCTTTTGTTCTGTAAACGTGGTTTATTCTCTTTACAAACATGAGTTTATATACAACTACAAAGACGGTGTAAAACCCTAAACTTTAAGCGTATGGAACAAGGAAAACATCCTTATTAGAATAGGAAAATATATGATTTCCATATTTCCTAAATATATGTTCAGTACTCCCCCTCACGTTGGAACATGAAGGTTTTGAATGCCCAACTTGAAGACTAACTTCTGAAATGGAACTCGTCCAAGAGCTTTTGTCAAGATATCAGCAATCTGCGACTCTGTACGAATATGTTAAGTAGTTATGATTCCATCTCGAACAGCATTACGAGAACAGCATTACGAACTGAATGACAATCGTTCTCAAGATGCTTGGTACGTTCATGGAAAAAATGATTTGCAGCAATGTGGATCGCCGCTTTACTATCACAGAAGAAACGAGTTGGCACAAATTGTTCGAGTCCAAGTTCATTCAACAATTTTCGAATCCACTTTGTTTCTCGAAGAGCAACTGATATAGATCGATTTTGAACTACGGGGGCGAAAGTTTCTGTATAGTTTTCACCTGCGACTTGTTTATTTCCTTGCACAACAAGCCGTGATTTATACCTTTCCACGGTACCATCGGCATTATACTTTATTTTGTAAACCCATAGACTACCAATCGCAATCTTCCCCAGAGGAAGATCTACAATATCCCATCTGTGACTATCTTCAAGTGCTACCACTTCTGTTGTCATGGAATTATTCCAGACTTTGTGCTTAACTGCCTATTTAAAATGTTTTGGCTCCTCTGCTTTTGTAATAGCCGTTAAATACACACGATGACTTGAAAAAAACTGATCATCAGAAATGAAATCTGATAGAGGATAAAGTGATTTACCTGGACTATATGACGAGGACTGAGAAGCTGGAGTGGGAAGAGCATGATGTGTATCATTTTTATTGCTTGTAACGTTGTAGAGTAGATAATCTTTTAACACAACAAATTTGGTCTTCTCTCTGTGGCCTCTGCCTAGATTTTCTGAGTCGACCACATGCAAGCTAGAATCAACAACTTTCGTGAGAGATTCATTTTCTTCTTCTTCTTGAGTTTCTAAATTTTGTTGATCTTATGTTTCTTCAACTGCAACCACTTTCTCTGTTTTAGAACTTGTAGGAGGAGGAGGTTGTTCAGCAGGAAACGAAGCTTTTGTATATCTACTCCCCCTATCGTCTAAGGACGTAATCCAATCATCATCGCACACGACGGGAGGTGGTGACGAGGATGTGTTAGATACCTTAGGATCTTGAAAGGGAAATACATTTTCATGGCACACAACATCTCTTGAAACTAGAAACTCGTTTCTTTCAATGTCGTATACCTTCCATCCTTTCTTGCCAAACGGATATCCCACAAATATGCACTTTGGACTCCTTTCACTAAACTTGTCCTTATCTCTTACAATACGATGGATATAGCATGATGAACCAAAAGCTTTCAACTGTTTATAATCTGTTCTAACCCCATGAAGAATTTCGTAGGGTGAGACACCTTTGTGGATAGAACTTGGTGTTCTATTAATCAAATACACAGCGGTTAGAACAGCTTCACCCCAAAACTTGATGGGCAGATCAGCTTGAAACATTAGAGCCCGAGAGATGTTGAGTATGTGCCGATGTTTTCTTTCTACTCTACCATTCTGTTGTGGTGTTGCAACAGAAGACGTCTGATGGACAATTCCACATTCTTTGAGATACGACGATAAAACCATGAACTCGGTGCCATTGTCACTTTGAACCATTTTGACAGAATTACCAAATTGTTTCTCTGCATATGCAATGAACTGTTTCAACACAACCTTTGCTTCTGATTTCTCGAGTAAGAGGTAAGTCCAAACGGCTCGCGAAAAATCATCTACAATGGTTAAAAAGTAGACTGCACCACATGAAGTAGGAACACGATACGGTCCCCAAACATCCACATGAATTAGAGAAAAACAATCTGATGCTTTATTTAAACTATCATAGAATACTTCACGAGTTTTCTTAGCTCTCAAACAAAGGTCACAATGACTAGAGCTAGCTAATTTAGTAGAACTAGAAAACAATGGCAAATTCGATAATATAGAAAACGACGGATGTCCCAAACGCTGATGCCACAAGGTCTCCTCCGAAGTACCCACAACCCGATGACTCTTTGCTGAGACTATGTCCGTAAAATAATACACACCATCACGCTCTTCACATGTTCCAATCAGAGTCCTCGAAAAACACAAATCGTATCAGTAAACATTCTGAAACAGTTTGTTTGTTTCAACAACTTTACAACCGAAATCAAGGTACAATTCAAATCTGGAACATATAACATGTTTGACAAAGTTATTTTATCAGAAAGAGCAAAGGAACCCATGCTCATTGCCACTGTTTTCCCCCCATCTGCAAACGCAATAGAGCATGGTGGTATCATCTCGACATTGGTTAATAATGACAACGATCCAGTTATATGATGCGAGGCACCAGTGTCGAGAATAACGTCATATGTTTTTTTTTTACCTCTACTCCATTCCAGAGTAAAAAAAATGAAAAAGTTGAAAATAGTAATTATAGGACTTCATTAATTTTGTATTAAACGTCGTCCATCATTTACTCAGAGAAATCTAAATTTTTAATTGTATGTGATACTATGGATTTACATGTTACTAAATAATTTCTTATTTCTTCAGAAGCATTTCGTTTATTTATAATTTCTTAATATTTCATATCTACACTTCAACCCAAAAAAATATAATTGATCAGTGACCTACAATTACAATTAAAAGTATCTCAGTCATTGTTATTTTTTATTTTCTTAACTTTTCCCCAAAAAGCAAAGATTGCTATCAGATATTTTCCTATTGTACCCTAAACATAATAAATATTTTGTGAATATTTTTTCCTTTTTTTTTTAATTAGAAAAAATCATTTATTTTATTATGAGTTTGTGCTTTATTACGAAATAACCAATAAAAAACAATTATACACGGAGGTACAAACAATTAACTAAATACTGTTTATGTATGAGTATGACGTTGTAAATGATGCTCTAAAGCCAATTAAAAGTTGATAAAAATTAAATTATATAATAATTAATACATTTACGGGTAGGGCATGTCAATTGAATAGAATGAGTAGTTATATAAATATCTAAGATAAACCAGGGACCAAAAGCCAAATATACAGATATATTTTATAAAATCAACGGCCCAAGAAGACGTGAGAACTATCATCAAAGTAAGAAGAAGAATGGCACTGACACTAACACTGGCCACTTCCGTTCATCTTCCCAATTCAACCTCCGTCGCGCGTCCCCGCATCCTCGCCGCTGATTCTCGTCACCGATCGCGGCTTCCGCGGCCTTCATCGTCAATCGCTAACTTCCAGCTCAGATTTCCGTCGACAACGTATTGCAGCGAGGAGCTTCGCTGCCTCTGCTCATCGTCTTCCGCTGCATCTCCTATGCAATTCGAAGTCTCCACTCCGAATTCTCAGGTCTTATTGTCTGGTTTGTTAAGATATTGTGGGAATCGTTCTGGTTGACTTGCTGATATTGTTTATTTTGTTAAATTGTGATCAGTTTTTGATAGTGAAGGAAGGAGTGATCAATTTTGTTTATTGGGTTACGGAAGGAGTGATTGCTTGGAATGTGGATGTTGGTGAAGGGTCATGTTACTTGTATGCGAGCAGAATCGCTGGTTTATCATTCAGCGAGGATGGAATTGATGGTGCTTTGATCTTTATCTCTAAATCTCTGTGAAGGCTTAATTTTATTTTATTTTATTTTAATCAAGTTTATTGGTTTTCAGGTTTTGATTTAAGAGTCAAGCTTGAAGTTGAGTCTGGATCACTTCATACCAATGTCAGTTGTACATTCTCTGCTTTGTTAATGAAAGAAAGGAGCTCAAAGTGGATGTGTTGATTTCAGGTGATTGAGAAGTTTCCACGTATTGGGAATTACAAACCGTTCAAAGTTCCATCGGATTTGGATACCAGGGATCTTGTCAAAAGCCAATTAGCTATTGTTTGCTTCGATGGTAAGAGTTGTTTCCCTTGCCTGCTTAGGTTACCTCATTGGCATCACTAAGAACTATGGAGATTCAGTTTTATCTAACGGTTGGTTAATTCTCTGCAGCCGAAGGACGGCTTATACAGGGAACTGGGTTGCAACTGCCTGGCGTCTTAGATGAATTGTTCTCATATGATGGTCCCCTAGGTGCAACTTTCGCACAAGGAGGAGGTGTCTCTCTTCACCTCTGGGCTCCCACTGCTCAAGTAAGATGTTCATGTTGGAAAAGGTTATTGGTATTACTACTACTGTCCTGATTTATGTGCTCATTTGTGCATTTAAGTAGGAGGTTTCTGTGTGCATCTACAAAAACCCACTTGACAAGTATCCGACGGAAATCTGCCCATTCGAAGAGGTTAATGGTGTGTGGAGCACTAACGGACCGAGTAGTTGGGAAGGATGCTATTATGCGTATAAAGTATCAGTAAGCACCTTGAAAGTGGAAACTTGCTATGCCAATGATCCTTATGCACGAGGGTATGGTATTCTCCATTTAGCTTGAACTTGATGTCAGATTTTGGTTACAATTTTTTTTTGTTCGTATGAGTCATGTGTGATTTGAATGTTTTCAAGCAGGCTTTCTGCTGATGCGAGCAAAACTTATATGGTCAATCTTGATTCTGATGATCTTAAACCTGAAGGATGGGAAAAATTGGCAGATAAGAAGCCATGCCTAAGATCCCACTCAGATATATGTATTTATGAGCTGCATGTGAGGGATTTCAGGTAATTAAACCCTGTTTTGCAGATCCCTGCATAGACGAGAATTGTGCTTGTGACAATTGATGTTTTACTACGGGGGCAAAACTTAACAAGTAAATTCTCGTTATAGAATAGCTATACGTACTCTCTCATGCGCATTATATTTTTTCATCGCTCTTCTTTTCTACCCGCAACCTAGAAACAATAACTTCTTCAATAGACAAACAAGAAGGATATTTTTTGCCCTAAGACTGTTTACTCTTTATCTTTAGATTACGTTATTGAAACTGTGAAGTCATTTTACTTTCCCATTGCAGGTTTCCCGTTTCTTCTTGTTTCTCTAATCTCTACCTGCTATTTCAGTGTCTATGATGAGACTGTCGAACCTGAACATCGTGGGGGATATCTGGCTTTCACTTTAAAGGTGTAAATATGTACATAATTTTATCCCCAAATTTTAGTTATACTTTTTATAATTTTGACACATTCGCTACTCTGCAATATTCTCGGTATCATCGTGTTTTGTATCATCTCATTAGATCTATTGACAGGATTCTGCAGGTGTGAAACATCTTCAAAAGTTAGCGGATGCAGGTCTTACCCATCTACATCTTCTTCCCACATATCAATTTGGTGATGTTGATGATGAGAAGGAGAACTGGAAGTAAATAGGTCGGGATGTCTTTGATATCTTAAGCGCTTACTTTATAGATTGCTCGCGAGTTAGGCTTTAGCCCCCCCTTTAAATTGAGGAGACCTTATTCATTGTATTGAAGTCAGAGCTCAATAGTTGGAAAGGACATAGACGTCAAACTAACAAAGTCGTCTATCCTGTTTCTGTTTTCTGTATCTGGAATTTATTGTACACATAATGATGACATTTTTGTTTGCAGACACCAGTGTGCTGGAAGGATTACCACCTGATTCAGCTGAGGCACAAGCTCGTATTACAGAAATCCAGAATGATGATGGCTTTAACTGGGGGTAGTTTGTTATATGAAAGTTACTCCATTCATTATGAAGCAATGACCTTCTTCACAAGCTTCTGTTTTGTGAAGGTATAATCCTGTGCTCTGGGGAGTCCCAAAAGGAAGCTACGCTAGTGATCCGACTGGTCCATGCCGTATTATTGAATTTAGAAAAATGGTTCAGGTTTGCATTTTCCACGTTTGGATGTTGAAATGTGGACAAAAATGATATTACTGCTCTTGGTGATTTGCAACACTAATAAGCTCATTGAAAGCTAAATTTTGTAGTGAGTCATACAAGGTGTCAAAAACAGTCATGATTTCATGCTGCTATGACTTGGCTCAGTATACGCTTCTTTTGGCAGGGTCTTAACAGTATCGGTCTTAATGTGGTCTTAGATGTTGTTTACAACCACTTGCATGCAAATGGACCACACAACAAAGACTCTGTTCTTGACAAGGTGAGCACTGAAATATTCTTGATTTCAGTTTGATAACTAACTGTCTAGTGTGAGTTCTCAATCTTCCATGACAAAGTGTATTTACTTTAGATAGTTCCAGGTTACTATTTGAGAAGGAACAATGACGGTTTTATTGAAAACAGTACCTGCGTAAACAACACTGCCAGCGAGCATTATATGGTCGATCGTCTGATACGGGATGATCTATTAAATTGGGTTGTTAATTACAAGGTACATGCTTATTGAATACTTTTCGGGATTGCTACTTTTCTTCTCTTTTCCATAGAAATTAGTATTACCATTCTTCATGTATCTTTCGACCTTTGGTTCTATCAGGTTGATGGATTCCGTTTTGATCTCATGGGTCATATAATGAAAGCTACAATGGTAAGCCGCTTTCCTACTCCTCTAAGGGTTATCCTGTAGTGTCCTTTTCAGTAATGGTTTCATTAGGTTCTTTTGTGATATTGCTGTAGTTTTAATGTGAGTTGTAATATCCATGTTCCTAAGGTAAAAGCAAAATCTGCAATTGGTAACCTGAGAAAGGAAACAGATGGAGTTGATGGTTCAAGAATTTATTTGTAAGTCTTGGCTCATTACTGGACCTACGTGCGAGTTTTTCCGACATCAGTTACATATTGCTTTTTTTGTTTCCTATGAAGTATTTTGGCCGTTAAAATTTTCCTGCTATCCTTAATCAGATATGGTGAAGGATGGAACTTTGGGGAAGTTGCTAACAACGGACGTGGAGTTAATGCTTCACAGTTCAACTTAACCGGGACTGGAATTGGAAGGTGTGAAGTTAATTGCCTCAATACTTTAGAAACAAAGATTTTTCAACCCTTTCTTCAATGATTGTTCAGCATCTTCCTGATTCCCTTTGCTTAACCTTGATGTTATATCCTTTTCAGTTTTAATGACCGTATACGAGATGCAACTCTTGGTGGATCTCCATTTGGTCATCCTCTTCAACAAGGATTCATTACAGGTTTATTGCTACAGGTATTTTGGATCTTATTTATGCAGTTAGCCGTCAAGATATAGAATCACTGAATTGTTTTAGCTCCAACCAAGGTTTAAAGTGAACAACATCACATACGCATTTTGCCATACCAACAATACATGTTTGTAGCTTTTTGTTATATTGAAGAAACATCACATCACATGTTTTATTGCCCATGTAAGTGTTTCATATTTGGGTGTTGAGCCATTGAAATTCCCATAACCATCAAGAAAACTAGAGAGCGCTGTTTGATGACGTGTATATTGTGTATCCCTTTTTTGTTAGTGGGTAACTTATTATTGAAGTAGAGAAGTGTACTTAGAGAATGTAGCTCTTCTTCGTCTCTTCTTTACTTTTCCTTTTTGGGACAGCCTAACGGTCATGGGCAAGGTTCAGAAGATACCCAGCAGCTGATGCTTTCTACTGCCAAAGATCACATCCAGGTAATTGATTTCCGTTAGATATCACATGCAATACGTTAATCATATTTCAGCTGTCAAAGCTTAAGGATATGCAAACCCAAATTTTTGCTCTCTCATTCGCTTCACCTGCCAAATTTTGCTATCTTTAAAGCTGAAATGTGACAATGGTATGGATATATTGTAAAACCAAGAAGTCTTTTGATATTATATTCCTTATTCTTTCATCATGGATTAGATTGGATGGCTGCAAATTTGAAGGACTATGTGCTAACTAATCATGAAGGAAGTGAGGTCTGTAAATAGACCCAATTTATTATTTAACCATTTACAAAGACTTTTTCTTCCCGTTTATGGTATATTTCTGTCGTTTCGTAGGTGAAGGGATCAGAGGTTTTAATGCATGATGCCACACCTGTTGCATATGCTTGACAGCCTACAGAAACTGTATGAAACGTTATTCCCTACGACTTGCATCTTTTGAGTGAATCAAACTGTGGTAAATGTATGACGCTCATATCAGCATTTCTCTGTGGTTTCAGATTAACTACGTCTCTGCGCATGACAATGAAACCCTCTTTGACATTATCAGCTTGAAGGTAATATTTAAATATGTTTTCTAAATATTATGGAGATGTCCACCTTTTAAATCTTCAGCTCAATGTTGTCTTTTGCTTGATTAAAATTCAATTCTAACGAGCTCTTAGTACACTCTCGCATGTTGCATCTTCCACGCAAAGATGTTTATGCATTGACACTCCTACTTTAGGGTCTCCATAGACTTATTTCGGCTTTGTCCAACGTTTTGATGCAGACACCGATGGAAATTTCAGTTGATGAAAGGTGTCGAATAAATAGTTTGGCATCAAGTATGATTGCCCTCTCGCAGGTTAAGTCTACTATCCCTCACTTGGCTCAGAGATAAATCACTTTGTAGAATAAGGGACTGCAGAATAGGGCTGTAGGGAATCTATTACACCGAGTAGGTTTCTTGTTTGGCTCATGATTTAAAATTTAATATGTTGTATTCTGAATGTGAAGGGTATACCATTCTTCCATGCTGGGGACGAGATTTTACGCTCGAAGTCACTCGATCGTGATTCTTACAACTCGGGTGATTGGTTCAATAGGTTAGACTTCAGCTACAACTCCAACAACTGGGGTGTTGGGCTTCCTCCAAAAGGGAAAAACGAACACAGTTGGCCACTGTAAGTACCGACTCAAATGCATTCAATGTATGTATTGCTTATAGAACCATACAACCATGCATGTTTCTGAAACCAGTCAGTTCCTGCTATAAATGTCTCCACTCTCCAGGATTAAACCTAGGTTGCAAGATCCATCCTTCAAGCCTCAAAGCAGTCACATAGTTGCCACGCTCCACAGTTTCTTAGATTTGTTACGCATCAGATACTCATCACCTCTCTTCCGTTTGGATACAGCAAAGGCTATAGAGGTCAGGATATGATTACTGTTTTATGAAAATAATCGTCTAGTGTCAATCATTTGCAATGCCGTGAATTGTCACGAAGACCAAAAGTAAGAGATCGACTGATATGACTTCTTTGTTTTTTTTAGTTTTTTGTTTTGATTCAGGAACGAGTGCGATTTCATAACACAGGCCCCTCATCAGCCCCTGGAGCCATCGTCATTATCTTTAAACACTAGCTTATGACCATTTTCAGCGTTCTAGATGCCATCAATCTCTAGCATCCCACAAGATTCGTGCGCCGAGTTTCATAAAATAACGAGATTCTTCATATGCCGTAAGTCTTTATGATACGTAAAATTAACACCATGTCTGAACAATAATCTTTTGCATAATAAGAACACAAGAGGCCAAGAGAGATTCAGCAGTCTCGCCCCATCTTCGTTTAAGTGAGACTTCTTTGTATGATTGGACTTTCTCTACTGCATGTCTTATAGATGTTCGTCTCATCATTCCTCCAGTTTCCTCATCTTTAGGCCTGTTCTTTGATTCTCTTTTATGGTCCTCCTGGGAAACCCTCAATGGTAGTAGATCATACTCTGGACTATGTTGATGCGTGAAGACGAGTCTGTCACTACATCTGCGTCTGTAGCTGTTTGAGATCCACCCTTTGCTGATTACCTTCTAGTTGTGACCCTGACGAATACACCACAGAGATAACACTAACATTACATCATTGAGACTCTAAGCTTATCAGCGAAAATGTGGGAACTAACAAACCTGCGTTTCCCGTTTGTATCTTCTGTCTCGTGTCTGCTTTCAGATGGTTCTATAGCGCCAGATCTTGATCCATCCAGAACAGAAAACGCAAGTGTGTTTTTAGCTAACTAGTTATATGCTATCAATCAACGGGATAGGGAAAACCTAAAACGATATGTTTCCACAAACCTTGCAACATCAGCCCTCAAGGTTTCAGTCAGTTCCGGTTCTTGCAAGTCCAACGTTGCAGACTCTTTTCTTGAAGAGACTCTGCCAAGTAATACAAGAAGTCAGTGACCTCTAATGCATTGTTTTAAGTGACATCTATAAAGGATGCTACTTGTAAACAGGACGTTATTCAAGCTGTTACAAACCTTCTCCTCTTGATCATCTCCTTGACTTCGTTTCTCTCATGGAAGCTTTTACATGGTTCAGCTTCTTCAGGCCTTAACAGAGCAGACCGTCTTTTCAAACAAATCCTGCTCCAAACGGAGACAATGTCAGTGCAATACGTTATTTTCCATTCACAGTTTGCAACGATATAGGTAATGAATATGGGAAGAGGATTAAAAAAAAAAAAGCACTTGATAACAAACCTTGCGGTTTCTGTAGTTTCTTTGGCATCAACTATCTCAGGAACTGTTTCCGTTTGTTCACTTCCTTGAACATTAACCCTGGTAGATTTCCTTCGTACATATTGCCTATGACAAAACAAACAAACAAAGTACTCGAATCACAACAAGATATTCATGTTTTCCCCATTGTTTTGGAACAGAAGCTGATATAAGAAAAAATGTAAATGTCCGGGTTAGCTGCATCAAGAACAAACTTCATTGTCAACAATTTGGTTTGTCCCTTGAGAGACAAACCCTTTTTCAGCGTCTTCTTCAATCTGACAGTTACTTCGGCGATAACAGTAGTATCTATGACTACAGAAACTCTACTACAAACCAAACAGTACCAATAAAGGTTTACTTCTGCCAAAAGCGTTCACCGAATACATGGATTAAACTTAACGAGGGAGCTTTCTGAGGCTGAAAATGAAACGATATAAGGTAAGCATGCAATGAAGATATGATAAACAGTTTACGTTTTATCGTTGACGTTCACTTTCTCTTGATATCTTTGTGATTCATGTCAGGCGCCTGTAACGGTTAGCAATGCCCATCAGAAACGTTTGATGGAACCTTGAAGTCGACAACAAAGCTAAATATTGTGGAAACAATTGCAGTGCTAAATAAAAAAATATTTCATGCTCAGGAAATGTCACCCAGAAAATTCGAGTAAGCACCTTATCTTTCGTAGAGTCATCTGTAGATGGAAGTCCTTGCTCCTGGACGAAATCAGGTGACAATTTCTCAAGTTTATAACTTTTTTCCGGGTAACTATAGTCAATGGACATATACAGAACAAGGAAGCAACTTGCCTCAGTCTGCATTTTCTTGGCTTCAAGTAATACATTGTTGCAGCAAAGTTCATGTTGAAGTAGCTTAAGCTGAAAATGTACATACAATGTCAGTTGATCGAAGAAACTGTAATATAAATGAAATAAGAAAGCCTAGTTTTGAGAAACTTCAGTTCCAGAAAAGCATACCCTGTCTCTGTTAGTACTGAGTTCCTGCCAGGAAAAAGGAAAGACAATGAAGCCAAACTTAGTCATAGTATTTCAAATAATCTATTAATCATCTCAAAACTTAACCGTAGTAAGATGGAGAACACACCGCCAACATCTGACTGTTTGCCTGTGCAAGCTGCAAATTCTTTTTCTGCACATTCCGTAAGTTAATCCACAGTTTCTGAAACTTAACACCACTCACCTCAATAATTTTACTGCATCCACCACACAAACAAAAACAAACATCACCACTAAAAAACAAAGCTCATCAAACTCACAAACCAACAGATTCTAAAGATAAAGATGGTTACTTTCTGTGTGCTAGAGCTTTCATCATCAGTGTCATGTTTTCCAACATAATCATAAAGCAACCGAGAATCAGCAAAACTACACTCCGTCACCAATTAAATAATCAAAGTGAAAAGGCAATACCTTTTGGAGCTTCGCAGCATATTCTTTAGAAGAGAAGAGCATAGCTTGATGCCGCTTCTGCGTCTCCTCTCTCTTTTGCTCACCCTCCAAATTACCAGTTTTCTCCTCAAAGATTCCTTATGAATGTACGAATCCCTGCAAAAGTTTCATCACTGTCACTGTGTTAGCAAAACCCCTAACACTAAATTCAAAGCTAATAACTCACCGAAACAGAATCAAAACCCTAAAATTCCAAACAAAAAAAAGAAATAATTAAAAGGCATATGTCGCGCGAATCAGATGCAAATGTCTGTACCCAAAAGTTTTCAAATTTTTTATCGAGAAAGGGGGAAAATAAGTCAATTAATTAATTACAAAGAGAAATCGAAAATGCGAAGAAGTAAGACGGAGTTCGAACCTTGAGCAGCAGAATTATCTTCGTCGAGAACCTTGACGGCGTCCATGGTGGAGGCGGGGACGAGAAACCCTAAGTATTAAGGACGGGATCGGATTTTGGATTTTGGATTTTGAATGGAGGAGGGAAGACGAAGCGAGTGAGGCGAGTGTTTGGTATCTTTGTGATTCATGTCATGCGCTTAAAGGGTTCGCATTAGCCATCAGAAACGTTGAAAAGAAAAACAAATGCTTGCAGAGGAACATGAAAACTAAGGGAATTATTATTTTATTAGACGACTTAACCAAACAAGCAACAGCATCACAACACAACACAGATAACTCAAACATAAATAACCAAATAAAGTTCTAACAAACCATAAATCACAAAACATTCATGCTAAATAAAAAAAGGAACTTTTTTTTAGATCAGACGGGTACAGGCGGGACAAGAAGGTAGATCGAGGTGTTTCCAGACCCAGTTAAGAATGCATGCTCTATGGAAGACATGTTGACAGCATTGTAACCCAAGAAGACCACTCACCGGAGTGTCTGTGATATCGTCTAAGCAAATACAACATGCCCTGAAAACAAGCGTTTCAGCTGGATTCTGGAGCCAAGATCCACTGCGCCACCCATTAGCCTGCCTATAAAGGCACACTGTGCCAAAAGCTTCATCGCCTTCAACAACGAAAGGGGTTAAGTTGTTGAAGTGTGAATCGTCAACATAATCGGAAAGAGCAGTTGCCGTATCATTCCAATTCCAGGCCAAAGCATCGAACGGATGGGGTACGATTCTTGCAGCCGGCGGGTACTCGGCAATTGACTGACGAAAAGACTCTCGGTTTGTCCTGGCCTGTGCATGACGATGTGTCACATACATCTCTTCCTGATCTCTCAACTGGCTCAATAATACATCCATACCATCTATCGGACGATAAATCATTCTTGTAAAAGATGACCCCGTTACGCGATAACCTGGTAGGGTTACATACATGTCCGAATCATTGTTGGTATGGACATTAATTCCATAAAACTCAACAACATGAGAGATTTCTTCGGCCATAATAACCTGTAAACGAAGAAAAGTGAGTATTCTTTTTTGTTTTTACCACAAAACAACAAATCTATGTTTCCTAAGATTTTTTTAAAAAGAAACAAAAAAGGTAGGTAGGTCTTTTCTCCATAAATATCGAACCGTAACAAATTTCAGTAATCACGAAGATGAATCTCGTTAAAAGAAGGTAGAGTTAAGAAGATTACCTCAAATCTGAGATCTTGAATGTTTAGCGAGAGATGAAAGCGAACTTGAATAACAACAGCTGATGAAAAGATACGTTTATTCAACTTAAGGTAATAGCTTTAGTGACCACCTTATATATAGCTTTAGTGAACACAAAACAAAAAGAGTAATTGCTGTCACATTTGACAGCTCAGTGGTCTTATCCGTAAGAATCAAAATCTGTTATCCGTGAGGTGGCAATGCAGTACAACGTGAGTGACCATCCGTGAAGTTTCGTATGTTGCTTTTGGTCAACATAGCCGTTGGTGTCCTTGACTGCGATCCAAGTGAACTTATCACTGCGTGGGCCGTTGTTTTGTTCTTCAGCCAAGTCCATCCTCGGTATTGGTTGGGTCTTCTTGCATACAAGAGAGAAAGAGATTGAGTGATAACAGAAGGGAGGAGACGAAACAGTATGCAAGAGTGCATATAGAAGAAATGATTGTCCATCTTTTCTTTTCTTTCTTAGGCTTCTACTAATTGTCATATGTTTGAAGAAGCTTTGTGGAATTGTATGAACTATGCGAGGTATCTTTGGAATAAGACTGATTGGCCATTGTCTCTTCCCCACACCGCAAGGTTTTCGTTCATGCTTGATATTGCTTCATTTCAACTGAATCTAAAATGAGAGCTTTTCTCCACAAATTACTGAAGAAACAGATTTAGATGGCTATTAGATGTTATCTCATCATGTCAGATTGTTATGGCTGAACAAAAGTTCTTACATGGTTTGCAGTTTCAGTTTGCCTCAATTGTAATTGGAAACTTTCACAAGTAATTAAGTAGATGTGTTTACTCATACGTCAAGTGAAAGGAATAACAAACCCAAATAGATGATGATATTTATTCCAAACCAGAACATGCACATAGACCAATCTGTTCTACCAAATTTATAACAAAAATCACATGCTACTTATGGGCAACAAAAGACAGAGCTAAAACACAATATATCCGACTTCTCCCCAGCAATAGAACTGCACGATCACGTTGCAGTGATTACTCTGTATGTGAAATACATCCTCATCCTCATAATCAACCACCAACACAGGATACTCATGTGGAGCGTCTACGTGCATGTAGTACTGCCCGCTACGGAACACCATGAGGCGGATCTGTGCACCACAGGCGCATTGATAATTTATCTTCGTCAAGACGCGATCCCAGAAACAACTCTGAATAATCAGTTGTTCTGCCATGAGGCTGCAAAGAAAATAAAATAAATAAATAGTCGAATCCATGTACAATAAAACCAGAGACATCAGACAAAAACACTAACAATCGATTGTATCTGAGCTCCATGTAAAACAAGCCCAGAGACATACAAAAACAAGCTGGTAATTGATTGTGTTTGAGTCCTATGTAAAATAAAACCCAGAGACAATAGACAAAGACACTATAATCGATTGTGTTTGAGTTCCATGTAAACAAACCCAGAGACATTAAAACAAACCGAGAGACATTTAAACAAACCCAAAGACATTATGCAATCAGAACATTAATCGAATCCGAAAACTTCGCGAGCAAATCTTTCCGTAGAGAGATCCGAAAACTTCGCTAGCAAATCTTTCCGTAGAGAGAAACCAACATTGTTTAATGTTATAAATCATCAAAGTAGCTACTATCATGAAAAAATATTATTTATAGATGGGGACAACCAAGATTGGGCCACAAAATACATTTTATTATTCTAAAAGTAGATTCAAAAACATTTAATGGAAAGAATATACTGTTTCTAACTTATGAAATTACCTTCAACGGTGGAAACGAGGGAGAGGTCAACAGTGGAGTCTGTAGAGACGACGGCGTGGAGTCCTTGATCTTATGAAATTTCCTTTTAAAGTGTTCCAAAACAGGGTTTTCGCCCACGCTGGGTTTCATACTTTTGTTATTTTTAGTTATATTATTTCATTTTTTTAATCTCATTTTGTTTTCTGATCAAAAAAAGAAAATCTCATTTTGTTATATATGTTGCATTACTATATAATGTGTAAATTTATTTTGATGTTTTTCATTCACACTAATAGCTTAAAATGTAACCGATATATTTGATTGGAAATTTTTCATCTACTTATACTGAAATGATGTAAGGTTTAAATATAAATTAGTGTGCTTTATTTCTATTTAGTTTAGTCCGTTTTTTTTTTTGTTAGTGTGTTGATTTTTAACGTTTGGTGCATTTTTTATTTTTTGAATATTTCGATATGATTTCTAGTAGAGAACTATTGAGGTAAATATATCATAGAGTAGAGCTTCTAGCCTTACCTAAATTATTTAACTATATAACATAATGAAATCGTATATGCTGAATTGTAGGCATAAACGCATAATTCATGCATATCCCTAGCTAAGAACCTAATGGGGGTCGCATACTTTATTCTTCTTGATCGTCGTCGTAGTTCTACTTTGCGACCAGTATCAGATTGCATTGTCTTTGATTGTAGATCTATCTGTGACTATAGTATATGAGTTTCCAAAAAGGTCACAAAATTCACAGCTAATTTCTATATACCGATTGGGTATCAATGTTAGAGTAGTGTATTTTGCAATTACTTGGCGTGTTTCACGTTTGAGATGTCACACCTCATAAATAAAGTGAATAAGGTGACTTAAATGTGACAATTACAACAAAATATATAAAAAAGGCAACAGGTACCAAAGAAAATACGGTATGGCAGGTAATTTGATGGTCCCTACTATTCAGCATGACTGAGTAAGAAAAAAAATAAATTGAAATAGTTTTGACTTTGTGACAAAAAAAAAAAGGAAATAGCTTTGACTAAGAAACGGATTTAAGATGCAGATGTTGGTTGGTTGGTTGGTTGGAAAACCTCGCTGTCTATAAGACTATAAATAACGTGAATGAGGGGTAAGCCTTGCTCAAACAAAACATAATTAACATCTTGTGTTTTCGTTATAGTTCTCATTTTCATTTCTTTTCGAGAATAGTGCGTGAAACTCAACATTCATTCTTTCGGTTTCTTCGTCAAGGTTTTTCTCACCAATTCATCATCTTCATATCACATGACGATTGTATATGCTAATTTGACTTAGATGTATGCATTTATCTTATGTATTTGTCTAATACATGCGATCGATGCAGCTCTGATGGCAAGAGTGAAAACGAAATGAGTAACGGCGATGAAGAGAGTAATAGCTACACTGGTGTGAGTATCTTAAGTATGAGGGGAGGCAATGGACACAATAGTTACGCCACCAACTCTCTTCTTCAGGTTCTTTCATCTTATATATATATATATATATATATATATATATTCCTGTTTTTGTAAGACACAAGCATACACAACCTAATATTTCATCATATATTATATACTCCAACTAGTTAATATTTAAAAAGTATAAACGTAAATGTCGAGCGCAAGCAAGGGAAAAAATAAACAATTTGTTTAGTAATATTTGCCTCTTTTGCAATCAAGAATAGAATGGCTACTGGAGAAAGAATGCTTAAATGGGGAGGGAATATTAATGCGGAGTGTTCGCTTTGTGATGATCATTTGGAGACCAGAAATCACCTATTCTTTGACTGCAAATTTTCATCAGAAGTTTGGGGAAGCTTGGTAAGAGGGCTGATGGAGGAGGAGTATACCTGTGACTGGGCGCAGATTGTAGTAATGCTTTCTCAATCGCAGGATACTGTTAAGATGTTTACTTTGAAGTATGTGTTTCAGGCGACTATCCATGGTTTGTGGATGGAGAGGAATCGGCGAAGGCATGGTGAATTTGCTATGACACCACATATGATCATTGGGCTGATAGATAGAGGAGTAAGAAACAGGTTTCTATCTATCCAAAAAGCTGGAGATAATAGATGGAGGGATGGGTTACAATACTGGTTTGCTACTAGACCAAACTTTTGAGTTTTTACTTTGAATATGTATTAGAGAGAGCGTTCAAAAAACCAGATAAAAAGTAGGAAGCATTGTAAAATGTAACAAGGGTTTTTTTGGATTGAATAAAATTTAACATTCATTCAAAAAAAAAAATATTTGCCTCTTTCGTTGTTATATGCAGAGAAGAGTTTTTATCAATGAGCAAGCCCATATTGGTTAAAAACGCCAAAGAAATGATAACAAACTTGGACTTTCCTAAATGCATTAAAGTAGCAGATTTGGGTTGTTCTTCTGGACAAAACACATTTTTGGCCATGTCTGAGATCGTCAACACAATAAATGCGTTATGTCAAGAACGGAACCAAAAACCCCCCAGAGATAGATTGTTGTCTGAACGATCTCCCTTGTAATGATTTCAACACGACGTTCAAGTTCATAAGTTTCTTCAACGAAAATCTCACAAGCAATACGCAATGCTTTGTCTCTCGAGTTCCTGGTTCCTTCTACTCAAGGCTCTTTCCTCGCAATAGTCTTCATTTCATTCATTCAAATTACAGTGTTAATTACCTCTCTAAGGTATCATAAGTATTTAGCTTTATAGACATAAGTGTTTATAGAAAAAAGGATTTTATTACTTATAAGTACAACAATGGAATTTTGTTTCTTATAAGGTTCCGAAAGGACTGGAGAAGAACAAGATGAGTGTGTACATAACAAGTTCAAGTCCTCTAAGTGAATACAAAGCTTACTTGAATCAGTTCTAAAAAGATATAACGACATTTCTAAGAATGCTGTCTGATGAGATGGTATCTAAATATCTAATGGACGCATGGTTCTCACATTATTCAACAGAAACATTGTAGATGATCCGTTGTACAGGCCCTTTGGATCCACCAAGGGATCAAACCATTAAAACCGTCTACATCCGTCTGCTCAATTCCAGTGTTCACGAGGAGCACCTACGTGAAATCGGGAGATGAAATAGTAAAAAAACATTGTATGACGCTTTTTCCGGCGGCTTCACTGTACCGGCAAGAACAACTACAGTGTTTGTTGAAGTGGGGAATGTTTGACTATTTTCTTGTAAGCAAAACAAGTCGCATGTCTAGAACATTTTAGTATAATTAAAAACTCAGTTAATCTTATCCCTAATTCGTAGGGATATGCGTAGATTATGCCTACAATTTAGCACATACATGCATAATCTTAATAAGAACCTCATGGGTTGGCATACTTATTCTTCATGAACTTCGCCAGTGTCATATTGCATTGCCTTCGATTCTCTACCTATGCTAGTATATGAGCTTTCAAAAGGTCACACAATTCATAACAAATCTTTATACAGATTTCGATATCAATTTTGGAGTAGTGTATTTTTGCAACAACTCGGCGTGTTTCACGTGTAAGATGTCACACCTCATAATTAAAGTGAATAAGGTGACTACTCAGTTTTCCCTAATCAACTAAAACATTAAAATTATAATATCTTAAAGACTTAAACATGAACAAAAATTATATAAAAAGACAACAAGTAGAAGTAGCTAAGAAAAAAACAGCAAAATGGAAAACTGTATGTGGCGGGTAATTGATGGTCCCTATTATTTAGCACGATTGAGTAAGAAAAAAAAAACTGAAACAGTTGTAACTAAAAAACGAATTCAACTTGCAGATATGGTTGGTGAGATTTATACCAGCAATGAAGAGAATAGTTATTAGTTACTACCCTTTTTTTTTAATACTGAAGTCAATATGAAGGGTGTGGATATGGGGACAACAGTTATCTTCTTACGTGCTAATACATTGCGCATTTTCTTTGCGGCATGCCTACACAAGTCACGAGTTTTTTTCTTTTGAACTGACACAAGTCAGAAGTTATATACATGTTTAGATAGGGATTTGCATGATCTTATGTATTGAACTCCGCCCTTCGAGGTGCTTAAGTTTTTAATGAAAGTTTGTGTTACAAAAAAAAAAAAGATAAGGATTTGCACAATCTAATACATAATGGTTCAAGATAATAATTAAAAACAGAAAGTCTTTTGACCAGAAAACAAGATTTATTAGAACATGATTAATGTGGAATTTTTAAGATGGGGTTTTTATTGGAAGTTAAGAAACAATATCTTAACTTTTAACTAAAAAAGTTAAAAATCGGTTCTTAACTTTTGCTAAGAACTCACCATAAGAATCCCGGATTAATCATGATCTTATAAAGATTATGTATATTCATATTATATTTCTAAATTATTGATTATACTTAGCAAGAATTCTCAGAAGTCTCTTAAATTATTGGTTATAGCAATCATTCCCAGAAATATCTTACATATTAAATAGATTGTGTTTAAAAAAACCTCGGTGTGTGGAATATATGTGCCACTACTATAAATAAGTGAATGAGGGGTAACCACTACCTCCATCAAACAAAACATAATATCATGTTATAGTTCTCATTCTCAATTATTTTCTAGAAACAGTGCGCAAAATGGATTCAAGATTAATCCATTTGATTTCTTCCTCGAGGTTCTTCTCACCAATTCATCTTCAAACCACTTGACTGTTTATGATAATTTGACTTAGATGTATGCATTTATCTTATGTATTTGTCTATACATGCGATCGATGCAGTTCTGATGGGAAGAGTGAAAATGAAATGAGTAAGGGCGATGAAGGGAGTAGTAATTGCCCTGATGTGAATATCTTAAGTATGAGCGGAGGTGATGGACACCATAGTTACGCCACCAACTCTCTTCTTCAGGTTCTTTCATCTTATATATTTTTCCACTTTTTTGTTAGACATGAATAGACAAACTAAAGTTTCATTATATATTCTATACTTAGATTTCATCAAATTTGCATGCAAAACCAAATATTTTACAAAGTATAAATCGTATGTTACAAAAAAAGAGTATAGATTGTAAATGTGGATTCGTCTTCAATACTGGTTTGCTACACCAGCAACACAACAGTTATTCTTTCTTTTTCTCAGTTTCACAATTCTTTTGATTGAAGAAATTTGACACTTTAAAAAAAATGTGGAACGCAAGCAAGGGGAAAATAACAATTTTAAAATAATTTGCCTCGTTTCTTTGGTTTCTGCAGAAAAGAATATTATCAATTATCAAGCCCATGTTGGTTAAAAACACAAAAGAAATGATGACAAACTTGGACTTTCCTGAATGCATTAAACTAACTGATATGGGCTGTTCTTCGGGACAAAACACGTTTTTGTTCATGTCTGAGATCATTAACACAATCAATTTGTTATGTCAAGAACGGAACCAAACCCCACCAGAGATTGATTGTTGTCTGAACGATCTCCATGGTAATGATTTCAACACGACGTTCAAGTTCCTAACCTGCTTCAATGATAAGCTCATAAGCAAAACACCATGCTTTGTCTCTGGAGTACCTGGTTCATTTTACTCAAGGCTCTTTCCTCGCAAAAGTCTCCATTTCATTCATTCAAATTACAGTCTTCATTACCTCTCCAAGGTATCATAAGTACTTAGTTATAACATTTTACTTTTAGATATTTAAAATTATTTATAAGAACTAAGCTTATGTAAATGTAATTTTGGTCTTGTAAGGTTCCAGACGGACTGGAGAAGAACAAGATTAGTGTGTACATAACAAGTTCAAGTTCTCAAAGTGATTACAAGGCTTATATGAATCAATTCCACAAAGATTTTAGGACATTTCTAAGAATGCGCTCTGAAGAGATGGTATCTAATGGACGCATGGTTCTCACATTAATCGGCAGAAAGACTCTTGATGATCCATTATACAGAGACTGTTGTCATTTTATGACACTATTATCAGATTCACTCCGCGACCTAGTTTCCGAGGTAAAATATCAAAAAATATCCATTTTTTTTACATTATTTTGAAAATTGTTTATGCATGGGTCTTGGCTTCAATGATTAGGGTCTTGTGAGTGCATCAAAGGCGAATTCGTTCAAAATGCCGTATTATGATCCGACCGAAAGAGAAGTAAAAGAAATTATTAGAAATGAGGGGTCTTTTCAAATAAACGACTTAGAGGCACATCCATTTGATCTTGGGCATTGTAAAGGAGAAAGTAGCTTGCAATCAGCTGGAGCTAAACCAGGGGAAAAAGAGGCAAATTGCATGAGAGCAGTGAGTGAAAAGATGCTTTTAGCTCACTTCCAAGATGCCATTAATATCGATACAATGTTTCAAAAATATGAACACCATGTTTCTCAGCATGCTAGCTGCAGGATCAAAACGTCCGTCAATCTAATGGTTTCATTGGTTCGAAAATAACCTATATTTTCTATCAAGGAATAATTTGTTTGATACTAATGAAATCATTTGCTTCCAAGTCAGATTCAATTGCAACAAGGAGATTACTCTTCATATATATATATATTATTCAAAGTTGTTTCAATTTTCGATGTGGAATATATTTCATATTGCAACTGTATTGTTTCTTACTTTTTTGTACGTGAATATAAAACAAGTGTTGCACTTATTTCATTTTTTTTATTTTTCTTTATTGTACTGCTTACTTTGTTACTTTCATTTCCTTTTTTCTATATTGTTTATTCTAGGGGTGGGCATTCGGGTACCCATTCGGATTCTATTCGGATCTATTCGGGTTTCGAATTTTCGGGTTTCGAATTTTCGGGTTTACAAATTTTAGCCCCATACGGATATTTCTAAATTTTGGTTCGGTTCCGTTTGGATCTTTGTGGGTTCGGTTCGGATAACCCATTTAAATTATTTTTAAAATTTTCAAATTGATTATATACTTTAAATTTCTAAAAATATATAAAATAAAATAATATATTACAAATAATTAAATAACATAAGTCAAAATACCTAAAATTAACATATAAATTAGTTTGATTTGAATATTTGGATTGTGAATCAAGAGTTTTTTAAAATATTTTTGATGTTTTGAGTGTACTTTAGCAATTTTAGACATGTATGTTTGACAATTACATATATTTACAAGTAATTTGAATAATTTACAAGTAATTTGAACAATTTCAAAGTATTATATATATATTGAATGTTTTTTATATACATTAAATCAAAAAAATAATTAATATATATAGGTATATATATCTTTTTCGGATAGATTCGGGTACCCGAAATACTTCGGTTCGGATCTTTAAATACCAAAATTTTGAACTCATTCAGATATTGAATCAATTTCGGTTCGGGTTCGATACTACTTTTTCAGATAGGGTTCGGTTCAGTTGTTCGGATCCGGATTTTTTGGCCAGCCCTAGTTTACTCTGTTATTTTAATTTCTGTTCTCCATGTTAATTACTCGGATCACAGATAACAATTACACTCAACAATTTCTATCCTGATTGGGTAAGAATGCTGGACTAGTGTTTTTGCAACAGCTCACTTGTTCACGTTTATGATATATATCCCACCTCAATAAAGTGAACAACGTGTCGCCAGCCTGAACGACAAAAATATTAATATGATAATAGAATAAATATTACAAAATATATAGAAAAGGCAATCAATCTATATTTTAAATAGTCAAAACATGAGTATTACAAAATATATAGAAAAGTAGGTGTGTTGGTGAGATTCATACCGACGATCAAGAAAATAGTTATTTCCCTTTCGGGAATACTCAAAGCAGTATGAATGGTGGAGATGGGGACAACAATCACTCCACCAATGATCTTCTTAATGTTTCTTCCATGTGCTAGACATTTCCATTGCGGCATACCTACTACACAAGTTAACACTTCAAATATTATGTATATACTTATAAGATTACGATATGCATAATCTAATAAGACAATGGTTCAAGATAAAATAAAAATCAGTAGGTATATTCATAATTCTATAGCATTAATCATTCTCAGAAATCTCTAGAGATTTGGACAGAATTTTGTGTTGAAACAACGTGGTGTGTTTCACATTGAAGACGACATGTCCCACATTCAATATATAAATTGAATGAGGGGTACGTAGCCTCCCTCTAAAAACATAGCATATAGTTATAGTTCTCATTTTTTCAATAATTTTCTTTAAAAAGTGCGAAATGAATTCAAGACTCCCACGTTCGGTTTCTTCCTCAAGGTCCTTCGCACAAATTCATCTTCACATTACATGATTTTATATGCTAATTTGACGTAGATGTATGCATTTACCTATGCATTTTTATATACATCGATCGATGCAGGAGTGATGGGAAGAGTGAAAATGAGATGAACAAAGGCGATGATGAGAGTGGTAAATACCCTTTTGTGAGTATTTTAAGTATGAGTGGAGGAGATGGACAAAATAGCTACTCCACTAACTCTCTTCTTCAGGTTCTTTCATCTTCTATATGTTATTATTTTCCATCTTCACATTAAACTAACCTTAAACTAATGTTTCCAAATATAATAGTATATTCTATACTCAAACTATTCAGACTTCGACAGATTTTGAAATCTAATTTCGTTATATATGTTAACACGAAAATTATAATATTTAGAAAGTTGCCACTTTCTTTGTTTTCTGCAGAGAAGAGTTTTATCAATGACCAAACCCATCCTGGTAAAAAACACTAAAGAAATGATAACATACTTGGACTTTCCTGAATGCATTAAACTAGCCGATTTGGGCTGTTCGTCGGGACAAAACACGTTCATGGTCATGTCTGATATCGTTAACACAATCAATGCATTATGTGAAGAAAGGAACAAAAACCCTCCAGAGATAGATTGTTGTCTGAACGATCTCCCTGGTAATGATTTCAATACGACGTTCAAGTTCATAACGTTCTTCAAAGATATGCTCACAAGCAAAATACCATGCTTTGTCTCTGGAGTACCTGGTTCCTTTTACACAAGGCTCTTTCCTCGTAAGAGTCTCCATTTCATTCATTCAAATTACAGTCTTCATTACCTCTCTAAGGTATCATAATTCATAAGTATTTTATTACGTACGTACCAGTGTACCACTAATAATAATATATTAGTTGTTTCATAAGTACAAAGCTTATGACAGTGAATTTGTTGACATTTAAGGTTCCTGACGGACTGGATAAGAACAAGACGAGTGTGTACATAACAGGTTCAAGTCCTATAATTGAACACAAGACTTATTTGAATCAATTTCAAAAAGATTTTACGACATTTCTAAGAATGCGTTCTGAAGAAATGGTATCTAGTGGACGCATGGTTCTCACATTAATAGGTAGAAAGACTCTTGATGATCCATTGTATAGAGATTGCTGTCATTTTTGGACGTTGTTATCCCAATCTCTCAGTGACCTAGTTTTCGAGGTATTAAATTATGAGTCCCTTAAATGATTATATATTCATGTTTATTGATATTTTAATGTAGACAGATGGTTAGTTTCATTGATCTATATGTTTATCATGATCTTTTTATAGGGTCTTGTGAGTGCATCAAAGGTGAATTCGTTTAATGTGCCGTTTTATGATCCGAACGAAGAAGAAATGAGAGAAATTATAAGAAACGAGGGTTCATTCATGATAAACGACTTGGAGACACATGTATTTGATCTCGGCGACAGTAACGAAGATCATGGCGTGCAATCAGATAGAGGTAAAGCAGGGGAGAAAGAAGCTAAGTGCATAAGAGCAGTGACTGAAACGATGCTTATAGCTCACTTTGGAGATTCCATTAATATGGATACATTGTTTGAAAAATATGCAAATCATGTGTCGCAGCATGCTAACTGCAGGAACAAAACATCTGTTAGTCTAGTTGTTTCATTAATCCGGAAATAAATTTTATAATGTAATCCTTGTGGTGTGCCAGGGTTAAATAATTTTTGTTTACAAAGATAATTTTTTATATTTAAAATTTATTTGTATATTTTGAGAAACATTAATTGAAAAGAGGCCAATTGTAAAAAGGGGAATGTGGAAAATATCAAACATTCCAATGGTTGTCACCAAATGGTCTCCAGAAGTGGAGGAGGAGGAGGAACAGGAGATTAAACTCATACCGATGTGGATCACTATGAAGGATGTTCCAGAAAAAATGTTGCAATCAGATAGAGCTAAATCAGGGGGAAAAGAGGCCAATCCTTGTGGTGTGCCAGGGTTAAATAATTTTTGTTTCACAAAGATAATTTTTTATATTTAAAATTTATTTGTATATTTTGAGAAACATTAATTGATAATATTTGAATTGATTAAATTTCATTGGTGGATAGTTCTTGGAAAGTATATAAGAATAAAAATAAATTAATTTGCAAATATTTATTATATTTCCTTAACAGACGTGAATTATATACAGTTTTTCTCAATTTTCAATGTGGAGTATATTTGAAATTTTATAGCTTAAGGTTCATAATTCAATAGTATTACAAGATTTTGATCCACGTTTTTCAAGCATGGAAATATTTTATGATTAAAATTTTCTATAATTGGGTTTTGTCTTTATTTAAAGAATTTTTTGGTATAAAATCAGTTTGCCAAAATTTGTGGTGATGATTGTTTTGTATTAGTTTCTAGTTTCAGTTTTTATTTTTTAAATTTTGGTTTTTAGTTTTTATTTTTTATTTTCAACTTTTGGTTAGGGTTTTTAGTGTTTAGATTCGCTGAGTTAGTTTGAACTGATATTACCAACAAACAACTCCTAAATAATCGAACATCTAATTTAAAACTGCAAACCTGACAAAAAGTTTTAAAAGAAAATTTGTAATAGTTTATTTTCTAAATAAATAAAAGTAAAAATATAACATTCGTTTTCAGCAGTTGGTTTTGGATTTTAGTTTTTATATTTGGTTTTTGGTTTTGTTTTATATTTTTTTTTAAATCAGTAAATTATTTAAGAAAAATAAAACAATAAATTATTTAAAAATTACCACTGAAATTTATCAAAACAAAATGATTGTTATTTAAAATAAAAATACAGTTAACATATTTTAAAGTACATGATTTAAATAAATGATTAATAATAGAAAATTTTATTTTGTTAAAAATATTAAATACCTTTGGACCTAAAAATAATAATTGATTTTTTTATTCATTAAGGTAGAAAATTTATTTAATGTTTTGGAGTTTTTCCTTAATACTAAGCTCAAAAATCAAACCATATAATTTGTTCTAAAAACAAAAGTAAACCCAAAACTATATCCCATAAATAACCACTGATTTAATTTAAGTAATGCAGTTTAAAATTAATTATATAGTTTGTATTATTTGTAACACTCTAATAATAGTCTAATTTTAAATAACAGCTTGTATTAGTAGATAAAAAGAATGATTTTATTTCAATAGAGTAGATTTACTTTGTAATATACTTTTTTTTTACCAAATTATAATAAATTTCCTAGTCTTTATCAATTTTAGATCCATATTACTGGGCCAAATATGGAGTATGGATCATACAAGGATTATGTTTTTGATATTGATAATGAAGAGACTTTATTACTTAAAATTCTTCCAACTTCTAGTGTAGAATATATGTCACATATTCTTTAAATATTGAAGGTTCAATCTTTCAAATTTTATTAATATATATCGTAAATATGGTAAAAGAATTGAGTATACACAAGGTCCAGGTCAGATATACTTTAAGCCGGGTCTGCCAGTTCACTAGTTCATTTTCAAATTGCATTCTATTTTTTTTTTGTTGATCGTCATGCGTGGTATATAAATCATTGAATTTCATTCGTCCTTCCTTTTATTGTTTAGCTAGGATTTATATATTTTTAGAATATTGATGTAAATGGAGTGGCTGGAATTGCATGGTCCGTTTGGGACAATACAGATATTTGATCTATACATATTTAACATGTGGGGAATTTCTAAAAACAGAGGTCCGCAACAGTTTAAGGAAAATACTTTCATTTAAACATCACAGTGAGATATTTTTCTTATCAAGTTCCACCTTTATAAATAAAGTGTGTGAGGATGTGGCTTCCTTATACAACAACATAAAGGGACTTCTTGATCGCTAGCTTAGTTGATAGTTCGAGCAATGGAATCAAGATTCATCCGCACTAGTTCATCTTCGAGGTTTGTCTCTTCAATTCATCTTCCATCCTTGTCAACAGTCTGGTATAGGACAGATATAGGTAATAAGAAATTATGAACGTTTAACGAGTTACAAACAGAAAGAACATTTAGTGTAAATTTTAACAAAATTCATTAAAAAGTTTGAAAATCATAAATTTTATGTATATAAGTTTAAAAGAATAAAATATAGGAGATAAAACTGATATTTCATTAGTTACATCCAAAGCCGGTCTTACAAAAATATTAGAGTTGATTGGAATAAACTGTAGTTTTATATTTTTTATGTAATTAAAACTGTAGTTTTCTTTGTCGTGGTTGTAAATTATTTAACTTATATTTTTTTATGTAATTAAAACTGTAGTTTTCTTTGTCGTGGTTGTAAATTATTTAGCTATAAGATTTTGGCTGTAGATTTAAAAAATTAATGATTTATATATAAATTTCTAAAGCAAAAAATAAATGCTCTAGTTTTAGTGTTTTTCAAAGTCAAAAATAAATAGAAAGGAAAAAGAAAATCTTTGGTTTTAAAATTTTTACAAAGTATGATTGAAATTTTTTTATGTTCTAAAAATAATTTGGTCTGTGAAAATCTTCTACAACATTTCTAAAGCATTTGGCAACCATTCCCATTATAAAATATTTTCAAAAATTACAATTGAATTTGCAAATAATCATCAAAAGAGTTTTATGTGTGTTTTTTCCTATCCCCACACATCATTTAAAATGATAATTGATCTCTTATTGAGTTTTATACCCTAATATATATCCATAAAATAGATCATGATTCATCAGTAACCTCTGTGTGCATAACTATTTTCTGGATATTATAATGATGAATAAAATATTATTTACAACTTTTTTAAGAACACATGTTTGTAGCAATGTTTCAGAAAAAAAAATTTATAATTCAAAAGATTTTCCGCGAAAAAAAAATTAAAAAGAAATTTCTGGCAAAGTTACCTTCACTTTGTCAAAACAATACATATCAATTTTACAAAGTTAGCCGGAAAATTTTACAAAGTTAAAAATCAATCTGTAATACAACTACATACAATAGATGTCAATTTTACAAAGTTAACCGGAAAATTTTACAAAGTTATAATCAATCTGTAATACAACTACATATATGAATTTTGCATATTGTATTAATATATAAATTATCAAAACTACATATGGTTTTGGACGTTTATCTATAAAAACAAGGTTATAGTATAAAATATGGATTCGTTGCTCAAAAGAAAAAAAGTAAAGTAAAATAGGGATTCGAACTCATAATTTATTGGGAATGAGGAATTAGTCACTGGAGATATTTTGTTTCTTGGTACAAAATCAAAGAAAACTAATTCAAATGGCTAAAATTTCTTCGTACAAAATAAGATAGGTACATTATTCGTCTCTATTCGTGTGCCACTGATCTTAATTTAGACCATACATTCTTTGGCTCTAATAGGAGAGTTCCAATCCACAACTGGGGCAGGATAGCATGAGGGACACTGATAACCGTACCAATCAACTAGTGCCACAGCATCCATACATTTAAGATTTAACATGCAGAATCTTTTTACAACACACTAGTCCACATAACTTTAAAGAATAAGCGATAACTTCGAAAGAATAAACGATTAAAATAAGTTTGTATCCCAGTATCATTTTTTCCTCCTTTTAAAGAAGATGTGTATATATATATGTACGATTTATTCATTTTTGCATGGTTGGAACTGTAAGTGGTCGTAGCCTCGTGGGTGTAGGTGCAAAACAAAACAAAGATAAAGTGATCTTAGAGCATCATGTGAACCTGAACAAACAAACAATATGGCAACAGCCTGCGTGTACTGACGGCACTCTAGAAGAGACAAGCATAGGCCTGCGTCTAAAGCAATTGCATTTTTATTATACAGATAAGCACAGCATTGTGTTTACACTGACGGCACACTAGAGTAGATACACATAAATCACACTAAACCTCCTTATGCAGTTTAATGAAATTAATAAATAATACTTTTAGAAGAATAATGATAAATGTTATTTAATATAATTGATTTCCTATAAAAATATATTTGTTATAGTACTAAAATTTCATAATTTATGCATTTTCTTTGAAATAATAAACATTAGTTCTGAAGTTTTTCGCCTCTCAAACCATGCATTGAGAGAGTACATGATCTAGAAAATATCACATGAGGATTCGAACCACCAAAGTGGGGCACGACAGGAAACTGACCACTGGGTCAACTAAACTCTGTCCAAACAATATCCATGCATTTAACATTTTAAAATTACCTAGAAAGTTTTGTACGACAGACACAGATCCATACAATTTTAAGAAGGAAATGGCTTAACTTAATTGATAAACCTTTTATTGATTATTTTATTTCCTATAATTTTTTTATTGTTGTTTCCACCTCTATAAATTATAGTGTGCGAGGTGCAGCAGGCTAGCAAGATCTTTTGACAACATCAAGTGTAACAATACTCTCGTCTTTAATTTACTCTCTATTTTTTAGCAATTTTATTTACTCGCTTGAAAGTAACAAAATAGTGCGGAAAAATGGATTCAATATTCATCCGCGCCAATCATTCCTCAAGGTTTTTCACTCCGAGTCAAATTCAAGGCACACCGCACACACACACATATACCTACAGTTGTGTAAGTTGATTTGATATCTATATATATATATATGCAGGTATGATTGTAAAAGTGATGATGAGAAGTATAGTGACGATAAAGAGGGAAGCAGTAACTACCCTTTTGTGAGTGCTCTAAGTATGAGCGGAGGAAATGGAGACAACAGTTACTCCACAAATTCTCTTCTTCAGGTACTTTCATCCTGTGTATACATTAGCGGTGGAAATGATGTAATTCTTTCTACATTTAAATACTGATACTTCGAATATTAACTTGTTTTTCTTTTACGTGTAAGATATTTCTACTTTTCTATGATATACTTACAATAAAACTTAAAGCTTAACAAAGAGACAGTTTTTCTCTTTCATTTTTATTTGTGTTATATAATTAAAAATTAAGGTAATCAAATGCATACAAAATATTCATTGCGTAATTACTTCTCCAAAGTGTGATCACAAAATAACCCCAAAATCTGTTAGTAAAATATTATTCGTCTTAATTGTTTTCAGAAAAGAGTTTTGTCAAGGACCAAAGCAGCCTTGGTTGAAAACACCAAAGAAATGATGATAAGCATGGACTTTCCTAGCTGCATTAAAGTAGCCGATTTAGGCTGTTCGTCGGGACAAAACACATTTTTGGCGATGTCTGAGATCGTCAACGCAATCAATGCGTTATGTAAAGAGTGGAACAAAAACCCACCAGAGATAGATTGTTGTCTGAACGATCTCCCTAGTAACGATTTTAACACAACTTTCAAGTTCATAACTTCATTCAACAAGAAGTTCGCAAGAGAAGGATCGTGCTTCTTCTCTGGAGTACCTGGTTCCTTTTACTCGAGGCTCTTCCCTCTCAAGAGTCTCCATCTCATACATTCTATTTACAGTATTCATTTTCTCTCCAAGGTACATAGTTATAACTTTCCACTTATACACAGTTAAAGTACCTTTTTGAGTACAAACTAAGCTTCTAACAAGATATTTTTGACTTGCAAGGTTCCGGATGGACTTGAAAAGAATAAAATGAGTGTGTACATAGCAAGTTCAAGTCCTATAAGTGAATATAAGGCTTATTTGAATCAATTTCAAAAAGATTTCACAACATTTCTAAGAATGCGTTCTGAAGAGATGGTATCTAATGGACGCATGGTTCTCACATTAATCGGCAGAAAGACTCTTGATAATCCATTGTATAGGGATTGTTGTCATTTCTGGACACTGTTATCCCAGTCTCTCCACGACCTAGTTCTCGACGTATCAAAATTTTAAAATTGCACACTTTTTAAATATTTTCATGGGTTACTTTCATATACATAATGTCTATTTATGTAGGGTATTTTGAGTGCATCGAAGGTGAGTTCGTTCAAGATGCCGTTTTATGATCCGAGCAAAGAAGAAGTGACAGATCTGATAAGAAAAGAGGGTTCCTTCAAAATAAACGACTTGGAGACACATGGATTTGATCTCGGTCATAGTGTTGTCGAAGATTGTAGCTTGCAGTCACATGGGGTTAAAGCAGGACAGAAAGAAGCTAGTTGTATAAGAGCAGTGACTGAAACAATGCTCGTTGCTCATTTTGGAGATGACATTAATATTGATACATTGTTTAACAAGTATGCGTGTCGTGTGTCTCAGCATGCAAGCTGTAGGATCAAGACGAGTGTCTCTCTAGTCGTTTCATTGGTCCGGAAATAACTTTTGTTATGTATTGTTTATTAATATGTGTGTCATACATATTCAAGGTCATTGGCTTGTAATTTGTGTCATCTATTGTGCTTTTATTATTTTGTAAATGTGGATTTGTAATTTGGGACAAACACTCGATAGTGGTCCTTAATTATAAAATAAGTTTAGAGAAACGACTTGTGCTCCTTAACTCCCCTACTACTCTTTTTTCGCTCTATTTATCAACTGATATATAGGGATTTTTGCATCTACCTATTAATCAACTATGTATCTATATAGATGCAATAATATGTAGTATAGATAGACAATGCCTACATGCAGTCCATGTTATCTAGTTGGTACTCTTTTCGAATCATTTGGACTAAGCAATAACTATCCACTCTCTTTTTCTTTTAGCTAATTATTTAGCTATACTAACCTAGTCTCCCAACAGATGAAGAATATACTTTATTTATTAAATGTTATGTTAAATATATATAACATTTTTAATCTTAACATTTTCGATTAATCCCTACTTCTATAATAGAGCTTATAAGCTTAATTTGTTATTATCATATCACACATCATTCTCAATGAAATCATTCGATTCCTTTTATTCCATAATAATTATAAAAAATAATAGTCCTTTAAGGGGTGTGTATAATAGATTTCTAGTATTACAAATATGAGAAAAATAAGATAATTAACTCTTGAAGATACGATTAGCTGCACTTGCTGATTGCTTGCTACTTGATAATATTCTTGACGTGGAGTGGGTGCTCTTCACATCATGCATCCGTTAACGGAATCTGTATATGCTTTCGATCTGCACCTACACACGCCAACATGTGTTTCTTTATAATCTAAATTAATTAGTATTCATCTCTCTGTTTTATAATTTACAAACTTTATACGTTAATGTACAAAGTGAAATTGCTACAATATTATATAATGGTGAAATTCGGTTCTTTTAAACACATTTAGGATGTTTTTTAAAGGTTGAATTAATGTCCCTAAACAAATATTACTGACTCGAAACTTGCTTGAAGTCTTATGACTCTTATCGTATTCTTAAGAGAAATTAGTTGGACTTTAGTTGTTTTAGAGTCAAATTTTAGACAATTCTAGATAATGTTTTTTCAATACACACATTTACGTATAGACGTGTACACGTTATACGTAGACAAATATTTTAAAAAGAAAGGAACAAATAATGAAAGACTAGTTTTTGACCCGCGCGTCCGCGCGAGTGTTTGTTCTTCGTAATCATATTTTAATTTTGAAATTCCGATCAATTTAAAATTTTATACTCATTATGTTATAGATTCATAGATTGATCAGTTTTGACATTGGTTTGTCTTGTGAATGTTATTAGCTTTCCTTTATAATTCCTTTATAAAGTAAGAGATTGTGTTTTTGTTTTATTGTTCTTTCATATAGTTTACTTCATAAATTAAACTATAAAGTATCAAAGGAGAAAATTAATAAACAATAATAAATATTTCTAATTGCAAAAAATATAAACCATAAAATGTGATATGCTGTTTGCGTAGAATTAAGAAAAAGGTGATATGTTGATTTGTTTTTTGAATTATCGTAAATATAGAGTAGTTTTTGGAATATTTTTTAATTGTGGAAGGAAAGAAGTAAAATTATGTCCGATTTTATATGATATTACTAAGCTAATACGTCATTTTAAGGAGCAAATTGATAAACAATAAAAAAGTATTGCTCATTGCAAACAAAAATCTAAATCACAAAACCATACCTTCATAAAATTAATATACAAAATGTTGGTATGTATAGTCACAAAGAATATAGTTCTCTGTTTATAACATATAAAGGTCATGAAACGTGGACCATTAGTAATAGAAAATGTGAATATAGGAGTATAGTCCAGTATCTAGTGAATTTATTAGATCAGTTTGGTTTGGTTAAATCTCTTCTACTTAGTTTTTAAAGAGGACGTAATTAATTAGATCTGTCGGTTTGGTTAAATACACAACATGTAACAATTATTTGGGCTAAGAATATAGTGAAAGCCCAAAAAAACAATTGCTGGGTTAGAGTTAATTAATTGAAAGGACAGAATTATAATGGCAGTGGCATGAAACTGTAATTTTTGTGCAACTATAAGGGGTAAGTACTATTTGTACTTCAGTCTTAATAGATTAGATGGAGTGGAGTAATGGTAGAGAGAGATGAAGGGAGAGCCGTAGATTCCGTGAGGGACAGGCTTGCATTGCACTTACCATTACTCCTCTTCCTTCACCTAAACCTATCTCTTAATCTATACTCCTTCCTTCTTTTTTCTTTAATAATATATACAATTTTAAGAAAAAAATAATTAACATCATTGTACAGTCCGCACAAAATGAAAACTCCAAATTTTAACAAAAATCGACTACAAATATGAATACAATAATAATTAATCATAATACAAGTTGATAAGAATTCTAAGAGGAAAACCATGGATTTCATTTAATTCGGACCTAGATAGCAGATTAAAACTTGATAAGATTTTTAAGAAACATATACTACAATGTAAGATAAAGCCTACATAGTATTTTTAAACTGAAGTTTCATCGTTGAAATTACAAAAACAATCATGTTTTAAATATCTAAACCAAATATATAATGCTGAATCATACTACTAGAAATACCTTTCTATCTTGCAATGTCTATTTTGAAGTGATGCCTAAAAATTGTTAGATGCCCAAATCATAGTGAAACTAATTTTAACAACAACAAAAAAACTAACGAAACTATTTGATAAGTGTTTACACCCAAAATAAATCGTTACACAGAGTTAAAAAAACGCATAATGAAGTGGAATAAACAAATATTACTAGAGAAATTGTCTAAATTTGCACGCTTTGTTGCAAATTGTTACAGACACTCTTTCTCTCTCTCTTTATCTCATTGTATTGTGATTAGTTTGCCAAGTTGGGCAAATACTAGAGGAGAGACAATAACAGAATTACTAAAATTTTAGAGGCTACAAAAGGACAAGTCCAAACATATTCACACACTTGCAAAGTTTTTTTCTTATATATGTGTGGTGTCTCTCTTTGACTTGTCTCTTCCTATATCACTCACTATTTATGTATCCATCTCTCCACACATCTCTCTCCATCTCACACACATCTTCCTCTTAACACATTACTATATATGCATCTCTCATTCTTAACTTCTTCATAATCAACATCATCAACAACAAAAAAAATCCACTTCTCCTTTAGTGATCTTCATCTCTTGATGGAAGCGTTTGAAGAGGCCATAGCGGCTTCAAAGGAGCAATCATTAATCTTTAAAGGGAAGCGTACAAAGCGACAACGTCCACAGTCTCCTATTCCTTTCTCTATCTCCCCTCCTATAGTTTCTTCCCATGCACGCAACATTGAAGAAGAACCTAAAAAGGATGGTGTGATCACGTCTTCATCTTCATCAGCCTCTTGGTTCTCTAACAACAACGCAACATTAAAGGCTGAAGAAGAAGAGGAAGAGCAAGACATAGCAAACTGTTTGATCCTCTTGTCCCAAGGGCACTCTCTTCCCATACCTAACCACGAAGCAAACAACAACAACACGTATAGATTTAGCAGCAGAAGGTTTCTAGAGACTTCTTCATCTAACGGTGGTGGCAAAGCCGGTTACTACGTTTATCAATGCAAAACATGTGACCGAACCTTCCCTTCTTTTCAAGCATTAGGTGGCCATAGAGCTAGCCACAAGAAACCTAAAGCCACGTTATCCTTATACTCCAACATCGACGTTAAAAAGAACATCTACGAAAGCGACGCCGTTTCACTCGTCACAACCTCAACTATTTACAAGAACAATAACAATAGATCCCTTGCCGTGTATGGTAAGGCAGGTAGCAATAAGGTTCATGAATGTGGAGTCTGTGGGGCCGAGTTTACGTCGGGTCAAGCCTTAGGTGGACACATGAGACGGCATAGAGGCGCGGTGGTTGTTGCTGCGGAGCCGGTTCGCGTTGTAACGGTGGCCACGGCTGCTGCCAACACGGAGTTATCATTGTCTTCTATGTCGTTCGATCAAATATCTGACGGTCAAGATCATCTGATGATGCCGGTTACAAAGAGAGCTAAGAAGACGGTTGTGTCATTGGATTTGGATCTGAATCTACTACCCGCACCGGAAGATGAGAATCGGGTCAACGGGTTTACCTTTGCTTTGAAGCAAAAACAGGAACAAGAACAACAACCAACGCAGCAAAGAGAAGAACCAAAGTGTCTTCTCATGTCTGCTCCTACTTTGGTGGATTGCCATTACTGATAAAACATCATAACCTAAGGAAAAAAAAACAGAAAATCATTTTTATTATTTTCTTTTATTTACTGGAAATTGGTAATTCATTGATTGTTTGTATATCAAATGTTTTTTTTATTGTATGTAACCGATTCTTTGCTTGTTAAAAACTTGAGAGATTCTTGTTTTTTTAATTGGGGTGTCTTTTTCAGAGAAATACTAAAATATAATCACTTTGCTATTTCGATTTGTTACAAAAGAAATGTGTAGAAAAATTCATGTCACGTTCTCTTTATACTTTTGATCGAAATTCATTTTTATTTCATGTATCTCCGAAAAGCTCATGATAAGTGCGTGACGAAGGTCGAGTCTTATTGTTTTAATTCTTTTTCTGTTAGTGACAAAAAAAAAATTCTTTTTCTGTTACAATAAAGTTTATTGCCAGTGGTGATGGTTTACAATAATGTTGTCACATATGCATACTCTATTCACATTCTGTTTAGTTGGAATGAATGCTTTTCCTAGATTCCTGGATCTCAGTTGAGCAACAAATTTATTATCTTCTTAAACTTTATAATATTTTATTCACCTTATAAAATCCATATTATGAAATTACTCACGGCCAAGAAACTATAATCACTTCATTGTTATCAAATTTTATGGAACAAACACTTTTGTTAACTATTAATGTGTCATTACACAATACAAATCAGCTGAAAAGGATAACTCACAGTGAAGACTGCATGTTTTTATCATAGATGATTAACAATATGGGCCTCTCTGGTTAATAATGCGGCCCAAAGTACATTGATTCGATTCCACGTAGGTTGCTAAATCGGGTAACTCGACACGTTAAGAACCTTCTCGAATAGTTAAAGTAATAACGTGTCAACTGCTTAGATACGGTCGCTAATCAATATCACCCTACCGTCACTGTAATTTCCCTCTCCAAAACTCACACCGATTTTAAAAACCTTCGCCGCGTCATTGCTTTCGTTTCTTCTCTTTTTCACGGTTGCTTTAATTCCCAATGGCATCATCGTGATCTCCTCCGTCTTTCCCCCAATTCTTCTCAAAAACCCTAATTTCTCAAAACCTAATAAAATTAAATAAAAAAACCTCACTTTTCTTGATGGGTCGCGGCTCAGTGACCTCTCTAGCTCCTGGGTTCCGTTTCCACCCAACGGACGAAGAACTCGTTCGCTACTACTTAAAGCGCAAAGTCTGTAACAGACCCTTTAAGTTCGATGCAATCTCCGTCACCGATATCTACAAATCCGAGCCATGGGATCTACCAGGTTAGCTCAATTACGATTTGACCTAGAATTCAAGATTTGATTTTGACTTTGTTTTGGGGATTGTGTAGATAAGTCGAAGCTTAAAAGTAGAGACTTGGAGTGGTACTTCTTTAGTATGCTTGATAAGAAGTATAGTAACGGTTCGAAGACGAATCGTGCCACTGAGAGAGGGTATTGGAAGACGACTGGGAAGGATAGGGAGATTCGTAATGGCTTGAGGGTTGTTGGGATGAAGAAGACTCTTGTTTATCATAGGGGTCGTGCTCCTCGTGGTGAGAGGACTAATTGGGTTATGCATGAGTATAGGCTTACTGATGAGGAGTTGAAGATTACTGGTGCGCCACAAGTAAGCTTCTTTTGTCTACTCTTTTAAAATGGAAGTTAGTTGTTTTTTAATGGCAATGGATTAAAGGTGGACTTTGTTGAGTTGTGTGTGTAGGATGCGTTTGTGCTGTGTAGGATTTTTCAGAAAAGTGGCACGGGACCTAAGAATGGGGAGCAGTATGGTGCTCCTTATGTTGAGGAGGAGTGGGAAGAGGATAAGATGACGTTTGTACCTGAACAAGATGCTCTTAGTGAAGGTTTGGCTGTTGATGATGATGTTTATGTCGACATTGATGACATTGACGAGGTTAGTGTATATGAAGCAGTAGTTTTAGGCAGAAATTATTCCTCTTTATGATTAAAGTGTAGTGTAAGAGTGTTTGGTTATAAGTGATGTGGTTGCAAAAACATGATACATGTTTACATTATAGATTATGGATACTTGTTATTTAGCTTAGGTTTTGGTTATTGATGGTGATAAAATGCACTTTTGTTCTGACGTCTGAATCTGATTTTTTTCTTTTGCAGAAGCCTGAGAATCTGGTGGTATATGATGCCATTCCTGTTCAACCTAATTATTGTCATGGAGAATCAAGCAATAATGCTGAATCAGGAAACTATGAAGACTCTGGAAATTACATTCAACCAGGAAACTATGCTGTTGACTCCGGTGGTTACATCGAACAGCCACTTGAAGCTTTTGAAGAGGATCAGAAGCCTATCATTAGGGATTGTAGCATTCAGCCGTGTTCTTTGTTTCAGGATGAACAAATTAGCTGTGGTGTGCAAGATGAGAACGCGGAGAATATGGAAACTTCCAACAATATTGTGTTTGGGGCTGATTCTTGTTACAGTGACATTCCTATTGAAGCCAACTATCTGCCTGACGAGCCATTCATGGATCCTAGCAACAATCTTTCACTCAGTGATGATCAGTACCTGGAATCAAATGATCTTAGCTGTGCCCTACCAGATGCTTTTAACTTTGAAGATTATCTTAACTCCTTTGACGATGAGGACACTCAGAATTTGTCTCTTGACGTTTCTCAATTGTTGGGATCTGAAGATACCCTTCTTAACCAAGAAGGCCTCCACCAGAGAGTAAGAGTCTTACTTTCGACATGCTTAGGTCCTTTTCATTTTTGTGCCCTTTCTTAACTTACTTTTGTTATCAGCAGCCTTTCCCTGAGGAATTGGAGGAGAAGGTCCCAGAAGACAAAGAGGTGGTGGAGAGAAAGGAAAGTGGCGAAGGATCTTCTTCTAAACAAGATGCAGATGTCACAGACTTCGATTCAGGTAACACTCAGATGTTCATACATTCCTCGTCAAAACGAATCATTTGTTGACAGATTCTAACTCTTTCTGAAACTAAACTCATGCAGATTCAAAGTACCCTTTCCTCAAAAAGGGGAGCCACATGTTTGGAGTTCCACCTTCATTTGCTTCCCAGTTCCAAACAAAGGACGCTGCAATTCGGCTACACGCAGCTCAATCGTCTGGTTCGGTTCACGTTACTGCGGGTATGATCAGAATATCAAACATGACTCTAGCAGCGGACAACAGTATGGGCTGGGCATATGACAAGAACAGTAACCTCAACGTGGTTCTTTCTTTTGGCTTGGTCCAACGAGATGATGCGATGAGTACCTCTAGAAACAAGACAGGAGAAACAACTGCTGTGTTGATCTTCATGTGTTTATGGGTTCTCTTACTCTCTGTTAGCTTCAAAATAGTAAACATGGTCTCTGCTCGGTGATGTTCGAATCGTCTGAAGAAAAACTTCTTAGGTGTGTGTTTGTACCTCTCTCCAGTTATAGTCTTTTACTTTGGCAATGCTTTGCTGCCCCAATATTTAAGGATTTTGTGTAGTTCGAATTCTCTTTACAACTTCTAGCTTTGAGCTTTATAACAACATATCAGCTTTTTTTATGAGAATAATCATTTGATCCTTGCTCTTTCTTATCACTGCTGGAAACATTGGTTTTAAACGTTTCAAATACTAGCAGCAAAAAGTAATTCTCCAGTAAAATAAGGGGAAAGAACTACTTTGTAATAGATAGATTATGAATAAGTTACCACATCATACACTCAGACACAGAAGTAATAATGTATAACTAGGATAAGACCCGCGCAAGGCGCGGGACGAAGTTATTATTTATATTATGTTTTTAAAAATGAAACAATAGTTCAGTTTCATTTAGATTAGAGGTGTTCAATCCGGATTCGGTTCGGCTTGATTTTTTGGTATTTCGATCATTAAAATATAACTACTATTCTAAATCTATATGTACTTCAATTTGATTTGGTTTATACCATCGGTTTTCAGTTTATTCAATTTTATACCAAAAAACATAATTATTTAGTTTGAGATCATATTATATATTATACAAATATATAATATGATCATATTTAGAGTCATATTGTCACAGAGTCATTTCTTAAAAAAATATTATATATTTAAATAAAAGAATAAAAAACAAAAAAGGCTTCTATCATCTAATAAAATG